ATATTAAAGGCTGCTGCTATCTTCATGTTATTAGGGCAGAGCTTGACAACTGTCTCTGCATTGCTGGTAGCTGAGCATAATGTGTTGTGATGACAAGTTAGACAAGGCTAATCTGTCACCTGTGTGAGGGTTGGTCACCATGTTTTTAATTTTAGAGTTGCTTGTATCGCTCCTCTGTATTCTGCACTCAGAGAGATGCCTCTATGCGCACACTCATGCAGACACTACACACACGCACACACTACACCCACAACCTTGACGTGTGATCAGACCTTAAAGCATGCATCCATCTCAATGAAACGCAATCAATCAATCCTCTATTGCCTTGAGCTGTGACCTCATAGCGACAAGCCACTTTAGATGGAGCCATACTGCAATTTACAGTGTGTTGTTGTGTGTGTGTGTGTCTGTGTGTCTTGTGAGGCTGCTGTGTCTGAACGCTCACCTGGTTTCATCAAATAAACATTCTTCCCTCCAAATGCCACAAAGTAGTGCACTATATTGGGAATAGAGGGTCATTTGAGATGCACTCAGTTACACATTGTTCTCACTGTTACAACCTTAAGGCTGCACAACTTCTGTTGTTCAACATAATTCCATAAAATGATTTCCAATTTATTCACTTTCATTTATTTCCTCTGTGGTGCGGAAAGTCTACTTGATGAATGTGATCCATGCAAAGTCATCCTCAGAGATGTTGGATGACCTTAAGAAGCCTCGAATACACTCTGCCTTCCACTGTGTTTTTGTTCATTTAAAAACAGTGTAATTAAAGTGTGGTCATTCAAAATTGCCTGTCTCCTCTTCTCTCACGCAAGTGATGAAGAACTCTGGGTATGGTCTAGTAGTCTAAATGGTGTGTTTTCTTTCCTATAGAACTTGGGAGTGAGACCCCCATCAAACTTGGGAGCGCAAGACTTCTACAGAAGAGGGCTCTCAGGTAAGATTTTTTTCTTACAGATAACATCAGTATGAAGAAAAAAAATGTATGCACTCACTTAACTGTAAGTCGCTCTGGATAAGCGCGTCTGCTAAATGACTAAAATGTACAAATGTAATGTATTTGTGTAGTGTATCGGTTCTGTATACGGGATATTGCACTTCTATTAGTCTCTTCAGCCTGTGTATACCATTATCCTTCCCTGGGTGTATGTCATACAGCAGCAGGCCTGTTGGGACAGTGACCAAGCAAAGTGAGAAAGTGAAGGATAAGGTCACTCTAGTGTGAACGCCACCGCAGCATTAGTGTGATTGCGTTGTGTCAACGTTTTGGCCTGGTGTCAAATACTCCACCCGCCAACATTCATGACTCCACAGCTCTGCATACATGCATCCAGTATCCATCCAGTTCTAGACGTTTACAGTGTGAGTACAGTATACGTTTACAGTGTGAGTACAGTATACGTTTACAGTTCTAGATGTTTACAGTGTGAGAGTACAGTATACGTTTACAGTGTGAGAGTACAGTATACGTTTACAGTGTGAGTACAGTATACGTTTACAGTGTGAGAGTACAGTATACGTTTACAGTTCTATACGTTTACTCATTCTATGTATAAGAGGGTGATTAGTTGTCCGTTTGAATTCATAGTTAAGGAATGATCAATTGTAGGCTACCCCCAAATAAGGTTTATTTGTCATAATTTACTCAAAAGATGAATTACTTAAGAAGAATGGGTGTGTCGTGTGTTCTTAGCCCTTTAATAAGCTAGTTCCAAACGGCCCCTTCCCTCAGATAGTCTAGTGGTTTATTTCATACCAGAACTAGTTTGTGGTGAAGAAGTCCAACCCACTCTATTAAAAACAGCCCTAGGGATATTTTTCAAGAATTTTCTTTTCCCACTGTTATGCTTTGCTACAATAGACATACTGGCTCTTAGTGTGTGCATATCGTAGATTTGAGTCTGTGTGACTAGATCAACAGATTCTACGACCTTGATGTGATTATTCTACACTGAACAAAAATATATAAATATTTCACTGAGCTACAATTCGTATAAGGAAATCAGTCAATTGAAATAAATTCATTAGGCCCTAATCTATGAATTTCACATGACTGGGAATACAGATGTGCTTCTGTTGGTCACAGATACCTTAAAAAAAAATAGGGGCGTGGATCAGAAAACCAGTCAGTATCTGGTGTGACCACCATTTGCCTCATACAGCACGACACATCTTCTTTGCATAGAGTTGATCAGGCTGTTGATTGTGGCCTGTGGAATGTTGTCCCACTCCTCTTCTATGGTTGTGCGAAGTTGCTGGATATTGGCGGGAACTGGAACATGCTGTCGTACACGTCGATCCAGAGCATCCCAAATATGCTCATGTCTGGGGAGTATGCAGGCCATGGAAGAACTGGGACATTTTCAGCTTCTAGGAATTGTGTACAGATCCTTGCGACATGGGGCTGTGCATTATCATGCTGAAACATGAGGTGATGGTGGCGGATTAATGGCACGACAATGGACCTCAGGATCTCGTAATGGCATCTCTGTGCATTCAAATTGCCATCGATAAAATACAGTTGTGCTCGTTGTCCGTAGCTTATGCCTGCCCATACCATAACCCCACTGCCACCATTGGGCACTCTGTTCACGATGTTGACATCAGCAAACCGCTCGCCCACACGACACCATCTGTCCGGTACAGTTGAAACTGTGATAAATCTGTGAAGAGCACACTTCTCCAGCATGCCAGTGGCCATCGAAGGTGAGCATTTGCACACTGCAGTCAGATCAAGACCCTGGTGAGGATGACGAGAACGCAGATGAGCTTCCCTGACGGTTTCTGACAGTTTGTGCAGAAATTCTTCGGTTGTGCAAATCCAGTTTCGTCAGCTGTCCGTGTGGCTTCTTTGACGATCCCACAGGTGAAGAAGCCGGATGTGGAGGTCCTGGGCTGGCGTGATTACACGTGGTCTGGGGTTGTGAGGCAGTTTGGACCTAGTGCCAAATTCTCTAAAATGACGTTGGAGGCAGGTCATGGTAGAGAAATTAACGTTCAGTTCTCTGGCAACAGCTCTGGTGGACATTCCTGCAGTCAGCATTCCAATTGCACGCTCCCTCAAAATTTGAGACATCTGTGGCATTGTGTTGTGTGACAACTGCACATTTTAGTGGCCTTTTATTGTCCCCAGCACAAGGTGCACCTGTGTAATGGTAATGCTGTTTAATCAGCTTCTTGATATGCCACAAATGTCATGTGGATGGATTATCTTGGCAAAGGAGAAATGCTCACTACCAGGGATGTAAACAAATTTGTGTAGAAAATTTGAGAGAAATACGTTTTTTATGCATATGGAAAATTGCCTTTTATTTCACCTCATGAAACATGGGACCAACACTTTACATGTTGCAGTATTTTTGTTCAGTATAATAATGAAAATGAATGAGCAACATTTTGATAATTAATTAATTACTCATTTTTAGTTGGTAGTATGAGCAACTTGGGCCAGGATTCACTGGTAGGCTATTTAGTCTTAAACATGTTTCAAAACAATCTCACTTCCAAAGATGCTAAACATTATTACATTTGGATCACCTTATAACCTCTGAGAATTAGTGATTGGGTTGAAAAATCGATAGTTGCATATCGGAATATTATTTTGGTAGCTATTATAAAGATACTTTGACTTTTTTCGTTAGGAAGCGTTAGCTAGCGCTAATCGACTGTCCTGCGTCAAACCTCCGGGATTTTTCATCCTAGACCTATAGCTGGTTCTCAGTCTTCTTTTTAAATGGTGAGCCAACATGTTTTCAGCACTTTTATTTCCATGACTGATCAAAAGTCATGCAGACATATTAACCAGGAATCCATCCAACCATTTCATGCGGATGAATGACGTAATGCATAAAAAAAAGTGACGACAGCCCTTATGGAAGGCAAATCTTTCGGTAATACTTTCCAATGTCGACGAAACAAAATACACTAAACAAGATGGGATCTTTTTTTTGTCTGTGAAATAGATTATGCGACAATTGCGGTGGACACTCTTTTATGCGCAAATATTGATAGAAAACCATGTCGCAGTCAACTTTGAGTCATGCGATTATGTTATAGCCTACTACCACCACGAATTGGAAGCGCATGTATAGTTTATAGGCAGACGAAATAATTTATGACGTTCATCACAATTTATGGTGGTTAAGTACACGGTGATGCGCTTCATGCAAATAAATAACTGTCGATGGTAGGCTATTTGAATGATGCTGGTGACATGATGATCGGTGTTTGGCTGCCAATTATAAAACATATATATAAATAATAAATGAGGCTTGCTTTTATCCATATCTCATCATAGAACATACCTTGTCCACCTCATCAGCAAACTGTTGGCTATTTATCGCAACAGTTTTTTTTTTTTGTGACAAAACCATCCATATAGTTGAAAATGCAATGGAAACGCAAACTTCTATTTTTGTTTTATTCGGTACATTAAAACTTAAGCGCCCAAGTGCTTTGATGTGCACTACAACATCAGGCACAGCATTTTATCAGCTTCAAAGTCAGTTTGATGGAAACACACCTCTGGTGGGATTTTCTTTTATTTTCTATGCAGACATGAATATTCGCATGAATGTGTCGCCAATTGGATGGAAACCTAGCTATAGTGAGCAATATATTTGGAACATCAAATCGCAAAAAAATCGCAGTATCGAATCGCAATACGTATAGAATCGTGAGAATGTAGAGAATCGCAATACATATCATATCTGCACCTAAGTATCGTGATCATATCGTGCGGTTCCCCTTTAGTGCGTTCCTTTTCAATGCATCCCAAATGGCACCCTATTCCGTATATAGTGCACCTCTAATATGGCACCCTATTCCCTATATAGTGCACCACTAATATCAACACTTTTGGGGAGTGCACTATATAGGTAATAGGGTGCCATTTGGGATGGAACCATGGTATGATCAGATTGTTCATTTACTGAAACGAAATCTTCATTGTTCTGACCGACCTGAGCTTTCAGTTTTTATTTCTGCCCCCTCTGCAGCTTCCAGAAAGAGTTTTCGTCCGAAGGGAAGGACGACCCAGCCAAGAACACCAAGGATATAGATGTCAAGCTCTTGGCAAACCTCCCCAAAGGTGACTCGGGGGTTAAAGCGTGCTGTGCTGCATGAAACACATGACTATCTGACAAAGGTTGCATCTAAAATGGCATCCTATTCCCGTTCATAGTGCACTACTTTTGAATCCGGAGCCATTGGAATGCATTCTCTGACAACGGAGACTTTCCCAGGGTTATGGGGTTGAGGGAAGTGGTTTCTATTGTGTGACTGTGTTGGTTGGAAGGGTTGTTGTTTGATGGCGCTTGTTGCCTTGATAAAGTTCAGTTAAAAATAATATTGTGGGGTTTTAAGGGAGCAGCGTGTGTGAGTGCTAGGAGGGGGAATAGTGTGTGTAGTCCTGTGGGTTGGTGTTTGTGTTTGGTGCAAATAGGGGAACTGGAGTTTGAAGACTTCACAGAGACTACAACACGGTGAAAAATCGCTGCGAGAGACATTTACAAGGAACTGACAATCTGCAACCCGTCTCAACAATAAAATAAAATATCATATAAAGTAGAGGTGTTTGATTTTTTTCATTCGTTGACGTTTTTGCTTGTGTTCCTGTTGTGTTGTGAACATTTTATCGTACATAATGTACTGTGCAGTAGTAACAAGCATAAGTTCTAGACTGGGCTGTTTTCTCTCCTGACTACAGTGCAACTCCTGTACTACTAGCTAATGGATAGCGCTGTCTGTCGGTCTGTCCTCCTAAGGGCTTAGACACAGCAATAGCGTTTGCTGACCGAGAGTACTTGGCACCTCTGAACGTAATTTGCGAACCGCGTGCGCACCGATTTTACATGTAGAATCGAGTGAAAATGTCAACGTCTACAGCGTGTTGTCCCTAAAACAGCGCGCTGAACGATCAGCTGACGAACACTAGTTCCACATTCGGTGTGATGTGTTCGAGCCTTACAGGGGAATCTGATCCAATCCAATAGGCCTTTACCTGACGGTGGCCTGTTCCTATGGGTCTGGGTGTATTCTGAGCGATCTCTCAGATGCCTCTATTTAGGAACTAGACAGGATCATTATTTTAAGATCAATCACATGAAAGACAGTGTTTTCCACTAGCGCCAGTTGTCGGCTAAACAGCTGATTACAGACTCATTATCAGCCGGCTACTTTTTCCACTTAAATGAACTAGGCTACTTTTCAATTCACAAGTCAGAAAAAAAGTCAGTCGAGCCCTCTCCCGCTAGAATGAACGATATGCATTGTTTTTTTGAGACCCATTTTGTCATAAGAAAAAGTGCCCATCACACAATTTGTTTGAATTTAAAATGTAACCTTGAATAAATAAAACAAATTCTAGATGATTTTTTGGGGGGGGGGGGGCTAACCCCTTCGGACCCCCGCCCTCACTGGGAAGATTCCGCATGTACAACCACTTCCTATGCTCAGTCATTTGCAGTTTGGACTTTATATGATCTTTTATTGTTGAGACGGGGTGCACATTTTGTCAGTTCCTTGTAAATGTCTCTCTCAGCGATTTTTCACTGTGTTGTAGAGAACAGAGTAGCCTACTGGAGGAATCGTCACCTCATTATAGTTCAATAACAAGACCCACAAACAAACCAATCTATTCTTGCTCTAGATGTGACAGTAGCCTGGTCCCAGATCTGTTTAAACTCTACATTCAACTCTGTGGGATAATATGAGCTTAAACTGTCCAACCTCATCTGCTGTAATGCCTTTCTCCTATCATGACTACTGAATTCTGAATTGATAAACTTGATTGACTACTCTCTACTTTCCAGTTTTTCCTCTTGTACCTACCTGTGTTTTCATCCATCCAGTTTCAGAATTGAGGAAGCGTTTTGAAAGCATCAGCCCAAGCACTAGCTGTGACTGGGAAATGAACAGGTATGACTGAGACATTCAGCTCCTTCAACCATGTAACGAAGCCAGCCGTTATTGTAGTGGTGACTGTGATGAATAAGAACGTGTGTGTGTGTGTGTGTGTGTGTGGCTACTCAGTCAAACGGGTATTCTGTCATGTCACTGTGTCTGACTCTGTATGTAGGAAGGAGAGGATTGCCCGGCGGTTGGAGGGTATAGAAAGTGAGGTGCAGCCTGCCATATTACCCAGCTGCCCCGGCCTGGTGACCAATCGGCTGCTAGAGGAAGACACACCCCGTTACACACGCTCCTCGGACACCTGTGACCCCTGTGTTGGTGAGGATCACTAAACTGCACACATTGTACCTAGAGTTCCTACATAGCTGCATCAGCTACTTACACAACCCACAGAATGACAGAACTTGAGCATTGCCAGAGCTCCATATAGTACATCATTTTCTAAACCCGTCTCACGCTTTTGGATATGAATTTGGTCAATCTTTGCTTACAGTATGAAGTAATTTGAAAGATATGCATCGACTTCATGCATTATATTCACTGAGTGTACAAAACATTAGGAACACCTTCCAAATATTGTTGCGCCCCCTTTTGCCCTCAGAACATCCTAAATTCGTCGGGGCATGGACTACAAGGTGTCGGAAGCGTTCCACAGGGATGCTGGCCCATGTTGACTCCAATGCTTCCCACAGTTATCAAGTTGGCTGGATGTTCTTTGGGTGGTGGACCATTCTTGATGCACATGGGAAACTGTTGACCGTGAGAAACCTAGCAGCGTTGCAGTTCTGACACACTCAAACCGGTGCGCCTGGCACCTATACCATACTCAGTTCAAAGGCACTTAAATATTTTGTCCTGCCCATTCACCCTCTGAATGGCACATATACACAATCCACGTCTCAATTGTCTCAAGGCTTAAATGGATTTATTTAACCTGTCTCCTCCCCTTAATCTACACTGATTTAAAGTGGATTTAACAGGTGACATCAATAAGGGATCATAACTTTCACCTGGATTTCCCTGTTCAGTGTGTCATGGAAAGAGCATGTGTTCATAATGTTTTGTACACGGTGTATATTTGTTTGTGTACTCCGTGGTAATGGAATAGGTGAATGATTGATAACCACTGCCGAAACTAGATCTATTTGTTAATATTACGAAGAAGTTATGAAAGCATTGAACTAATGCTGCCAGCTAGATTATAATGTGTTGTACACTGTGTATTACTTGCGTAGAGTTTTAGTCCATGCATGATGGTCTAATGATGGTCTCTATCTATCCCCAGTTACAGTGCAGCGTTACAGTAAGGAGGACATGGAGAGTCCAGAGATGATGACCCATCAGCAGGTCACTGCTCCAGAGAGGCAGTCCAGAGCCCGGAGCCGGCCTGAGGGCCAGACCATCCCAACTGAACCCATTTACAGCTCTGACTCCGCAGGTACCGACCTGGACTCCAAGGCCGATCGGATAGCCCGCTACAAGGCGGAACGGCGTCGGCAGCTGGCCGAGCGCTACGGTATGTCTCTGGACCAGGAACCAGACGCCACCACCGATCACTTCTCCTCCCGATCTGGCTCTGCCCGTGGTCGCAAGGAGTCTGACACCTCTTCGGTGAGGCAACAGGGCTACACAAACGTCAAGCCACGCCCCAGGGCGGAGTCTGTCGGGGATGAACCCTCCTACACTTCAGGCAGCTCCAGGGTGGGGAGACTGGCACTCCAGCCACAAAGCTACGGTGAGCCTGGCCAGGGGAGACCCAGGGTGGACTCGTTCACGGAGAGGGAGAGGGTGATGAACCTGGAGAACCAGCGCAGGGCAGGGCAGCAGGAGAGGAACATCAACGCCCTCGAGCCGCCGCTCCCCTCTTCCGCCACCTACATGGATGTGACGTCATCATCGCCCACCTCAGCCAAGGTGCCCGTTGCTAATGACCACACCATCACAGGGGTGCCCCCCAGCTCGCCCAAGATGACCCGGAAGTCCTCACTGCCCTCCCCCAAACAGGGGGTGTCCCCTGAGGGCCTGTTCATAGAGCAACAGGCCCACAACATCCTCGGCAGACAGGGGTGAGTTGACCGACCTACTACACTGTCTAGTCCTCTTTCTCTTCCTATTGTGAAGATTCTCTCTCTGTACAGTGTCTCTTTCCCCTTACTGTAAATAAAACAGATGGGGGAGAGAGAGAGAGAGAGAGAGAGAGTGAAAGAGAGGGATCATCTGTCTCTCCCTCTCTCACACACACACATACCGCGTCTCCTTGATCCCTTTAACAGAACTCTCACAAGGTCGTCCTCTTGGCAGGAACATTAACTGCATCAAAATGGCACCCTAGTCCCTATAGAGTGCACTTCTTTTGACCAAGTAGTGCAGTAAATACGGCAGGGTGCCATTTGGGACGCACACAATAATTTATAGCATAGAGGAAGAGCAATCTGTGCATGCAGCAGCAGGCTCAGTCAATCCAACAGGGTTTACACACAGCTGGGCCTGGGAGGACTGAAGCCTGAACTGAAGTCTGATCAGTTTTAGTTGTTGCTGCATCGTGTTTGATGTTGCTGCATATACAGTGCCTTCAGAAAGTATTCATACCCATTGACTTTTTCCACCTTTTTTGTTACAGCCTGATTTTTAAATGAATTAATTTGAGATTTTATTTCTCTGACCTACACACATAATGCCAGTGGAATTATGTTTTTCGAAATTTTTACAAATGAATTAAAAACGAAAAGCTGAAATGTCTTCAGTCAATAAGTATTCAACTCCTTTGTTATGGCAAGCCTAAATAAGTTCAGGAGTAAAAATGTGTTTAACAAGTCACATTATAAGTTGCATGGACTCACTCTGTGTGCAATAGTGTTTAACATACAATTATCTGTAAGGTCCCTCAGTCAAGCAGTGAATTTCAAACACAGATTAAACAACAAAGACCAGGGAGGTTTTCCAATGCCTCGCAAAGAAGGGCACCTCTATTGGTAGATGGGTAAAACAAACAAAAAAATAAATTAAATATCCATCTGAGCATGGTGAAGTTATTAATTACACTTTGGATGGTGTATCAATACACCCAGTCACTACAAAGATACAGGCGTCCTTCCTAACTCAGTTGCCAGAGAGGAAGGAAACTACTTAGGGATTTCACCATGAGGACAATGGTGAAAACAGTTAGTGTTTAATGGCTGTGATAAAGAAAACTGAGGATGGATCAACAACATTGTAGTTACTCCACAAAACTAACCTAATTTACAGACTGAAAAGAAGGAAGCTTGTACAGAATAAAAAATATTCCAAAACATGCATCGTATTTGCAACAATGCACGAAAGTAATACTGAAAATAATGTGGCAAAGCAATTCACTTTTTGTCCTGAATACAAAGTGTTATGTTTAGGGCGAATTCAATACAACACATTACTGAATACCACCCTCCATATTTTTAAGCATAATGGTGGCTGCATCATGTTATGGGTATGCTTGTAATTGTTAAGAACTGGGACGTTTTTCAGTATAAACGGAATGGAGCTAAGCACAGTCAAAATCCTAGAGGAAAACCTTGTTCAGTCTGCTTTCCACCAGACACTGGGAGATTAATTCACCAAGTTGCATACCAAGAAGACAGTAAATGTTCCTAAGTGGCCGAGTTAGTTTTGACTTAAATCTACTTGGAAATCTATGGGAAGACCTGAAAATGGTTGTCTAGCAATGATCAACAACCAATTTGACAGAATAATGGGCAAATGTTGCACAATCCAGGTGTGGAAGGCTCACAGCTGTACTCGCTGCCAAAGGTGCTTCTACGAAGTATTGACTCGGGTGTGAATACTTATGAGATTTATTTTTCAATACATTTGCAAAAAGTTCTTAACATGTTTTCGCTTTGTTATTTATGGGGTATTCTGTGTAGATGGGTGAGAATATATTTAATACATTTTTTTATTCAGGCTGTAACACAACAAAATGTGGAATAACTCAAGGGGTATGAATACTTTCTGAAGGCACTGCATGTATTTTTCTGTGCCAAAATGTTCAGGTGGTTGAACAGCGACTTGTAGGATTTAGTTTATTAAACCTAAAGGAGCAGCTTTATTTGTTGCTTTGCTGAACAGTTACACAACCCACTTGAGCCAAAGTCATAGAAAGTCAACGAAAGCCCAGGTTGTGAGACTGCTGATACAATGCTGTGGTACTATATTTCCAACAACGACACTCAATATTAGAGGTTAGTTTAGGGATACTTCATTTGGGATTCATGGTCCAATGCAGTGTCTAGTCTGGAGACATTTAGTTTTTCTCTCAGTCCTTCAGGCTTATTTTAACAGCCATCCCTAGCTGTAGCCTGCTGGAGCTAAATGTTTACTCACTAAGGGGAAACGATTAGGGACACATGGTCCGATTCCACATCACACCAGGCATCTATCTCGCTCTCCGTCTCTCTCCGCCCTCTCTCTCTCTCGGGTTTCAGAACTTGGCAGCGGCTGTGTTGCGTTAGCCATCAGGAGGGGTGTTGGGTTACAGGGTGCGCAATGTGACTCCTCGGTCAGAACTATGAGCGCGTACAGACACAGATGGGACTGATGAAGGCCAGCAGCACCACGCCACGCCACCCACCTGGAGAAAGAGTTTAGGGTTTAGGACACTGAGCAGCTCTCTCTCTCTCGCTCAAGCGCTCTCCCTGGTGCTCTCGCTCGCTCTCTTGCTCTCTCTCATAGAAAACCCTCTGAGTCACATGCTGTTGCCCACTGCTGGGTGAGGGCATGGCTCTGGATATCTGGTAGGACAGATAAGGAAGGACGTTTTTGTTGCTCCATTGTTATCAAGGGACCTAACGTGTGCCAGGAAAACATTCCCCACACCAGTACACCACCAGCCTGTACCGTTGACACCAGGCAGGATGGATCCATGGCCATACTCATGCTGCTTACGCCAAAACCTGATTCTGCCGTCAGCATGACGCAACAAGAACCAGGGTTTGTCAGACAAAGGAATGTTTTCCACTCAATTGTCCAGTGTTGGTGATCGCGATCCCACTGGAACCGCTACTTGTGTGTTCCGAGATGCCGTTATTCATCTGTTTGTGGACCTCGTGTTAGCTTACACGATTCTTGCCATTGTCCTTCGACCTCTCATCAACGAGCTGTTTTCGCCCCCAGGACTGCCGCTGCACATGCATTGTACACAATACGTCAGTTGAATGGCTACTATTTGGTATTTTATTAGGATCCCCATTATACTTCCTGGGGTCCACACAAAAAATGAAACATGACATAATACAGAACATTAATAGACAAGAACAGTTCAAGGACAGAACTACATCACTTTAACAATGGCACGCGTAACCTACATATCAATACATCCACACAAACTATCTAGGTCACATTTTCCATAGACGTGTAGAGTACACTGTGCATTGCAATACATGCTGCTGTGTGCGTCATCTCTGTGTCCTATCATTTTCCCAAGCCCCAGTTGATGCCTCTTTTATTGTTCATTTCGATTAACATTCCCGGAGAGGATTTGTTTCATATTTCATTGTTTGTTGACATCTCTCCAAATACCAGAATGATAACTGAGCTCCCAGTAGAATGGAATATCCACTGAAGTACAAGGCAGATGGATGGTTCTTTCTTGGTCAAGCTTAATGTGTTTGTGCTACAAGTGTAATGCTCGGGGCGGTCTCCCCACTAGCCACTCACTCACCCAGGGTGCGTTTGAAAATATACCCTGTTCCCTATAATAGTGCACTAATTTTGACCAGAGCTCCATAGGCTCTGGTCAAAAGTAGTGCACTGCACAAAGAATAGGGCGCCATTTTGGATGCAGCCCCATTGTCGCTGACTCACTGCGTCTCCCATCCCATTGGTGCAGCCCGGAGGTGAAACTAACCAGCAATTGGTTCCTCCAGACCGATTCGGAAGGCAACACCCAATCCCTTATCAACTGGCCCTCCAGGTACAGGGTTTGTTTGACCCTCCCTCCCTCCCTTCCACATTCCCATCTTTTAACCGAGCCCATGCCATCGTCACATCAGACCTCATTCCTCATCAACATTAATGGGTGTGTTGCTGTGTTTTCATTTCACTGACCAAATGATCCCCCTCCTCCCCGCCCCTGTTCATGTTGTCCAATGACTCTAAAGCCGTTTCGATCTCAATTACTTATAGAGTTACTTACAGTAAGTGCTCTATTGCAGTTTCTCCCTGTTTCTCTACTGACCAAGCCAGACTGTCTGAGGGAGGATGAAGAATGATGCTGGGAGTCAGACCGTGGGAGAAAACCCTTTAGTCATGGCTCATCCCCCACTCCTCTCCTCTCCCAGCCTTGACTCAGCACATAGATCTTGTACAGTCTCTATCCCTCAGGCCTACACACAGTCAGAGCAACTTGAAATTAGAGCTGCAATTATTATTATTGCTGAGTTGGCTCAATTTTCACCCCAAAACATTTACTCCACTAAATCTCCTTAGATCTTGGCTAGGGTTGCAGAATTCTGGTAACTTTTGGTTAGAGGATTCTCAGATTTCTTGCTTATTCCCTTGTAAACTCCAGGAATCTTCCAACCAGTAGTACCCTTGTGGATGTTAGACAGAATCTCTACTGGACTGCTCTGAGTGTATGTCTATCCTCAGTCAGGGAATCGACAGGACTTTGTTATTATGGTAGGTTATACGATCCATTTCTGACCAGATAAACCTGTTATCAGCCACAAGTCACAAATGGGTTGTAAATAGACAGCTTTCAAAAAGCCACAAGTGAGGGTGCTGTCAGTAAAGTCACGCATTGTCTGATTCTCTGCAGTAGATCAGATATCAGCCTAGAATTGTGAGCCTAACAGAATAAAGAACAGCTGAATCTAGCTAGGACTTCTGGATTTAGTCATAAAGGAATGTGTCATTCAAAGATGAGGAGAAAAGCAGACACAGTGAGCTAACCTTCCACATCCAGTCCTAGGCCCTGTTGCCCACCAGATTCACAAAACACAAGCTAATACAAGGAATAGCAACTTTGCTTAACTTTCTTCTTAAGTCTATAGGGAAGGGGAAAATGGCAGTTAATAAGAAATTAAGAAATGTTCTGCGAATCCAGGCCCAGGCCTGCTCAGCTGTGGAAGACTGTTGTGGAAGAGAGAAGGAAGAGGGGCTGCGGTTTTTGTTTTTGTTGGCCATCTGCCAGCCCCCCTACAGAGATTAACCTGTACAGTACTACTTTAACACTCCCAGAACCATCACCGACAAGTCTTGCAGGAAAGTGTTACTGTTAGCATTGCGTTAGCCACCACCTGACAACAGCTGCTAGCTAGCCTAGCATGTTACCAACCAACCTCCACCACCATCCAGCATGTGGTCTGACTGTGCTCTGCAGCCAATTGATTCCCTGTTTGTTTTAGTTTGGTAACTTGGTGTTCTTCGTGCGTTTTTCATTAGTATCTCACTGGTCAGATGGTACTACAGTACATTCATATGACTGTTTTTCTCTGGGGATATCTGTGACTCTGACATTTTGACCGTTTTCTGTAAATAAATAAATAAATGCAGCCACAATTTAATAAGAGAGAGGAGGGGTTGAGAAGGGTAGAGGGGAAAGCGAATGTTTTATGGCTGAGGGAAGGAAAGGGATGTGTTGGGCTTTCACCATTATTTAATTATCTTTTCTCGCTGCACTCTGAGTTTCAGTACAAACTGCAGCGAGTTGTTAACCCTCTCGGTCTCTCCCTGAAGAATCCGAGTTAGGGAGAGGCTCGTCAGGGAGGAGGGAATCCGACAGAGTCCAGAGCTGGGCCACCATGTCGCTGAGGCCCCCCTGTACAGGAGACACCCCCAACCCAAGACCCAGGCCACCACCTGCCCCACAGCCTACCACCAGGCTCCAGCCTACACCACCACCAACCCTCCAGGCCCCCAGCCAGCCTACTCTCACCCCCAGCCTCAACTCACCCGTTCTGGGCTGAGTGATGACCCCAGCTATCTGTCCATGACCACTGGCCCCGGTCCCAGGGCACAGCAGCCACAACAGCCTCAGCCAGAGGAGGAAGAGGAGATGGAGGGAGAGGTGGATGAGGAGAGGGGAGCCCATAGGGAGGGTAGACAGGAGGTGAGGACGGAGGTACTACTGAAGAGCAGGAAAGCTGTGCTGCCATCAGAGATCAGACGCAGGGAGAAGAGCACAGAGGACCCGCGTGGCAGCGGCCCCAGCAGGGGCAGCAGGGGAGAGGAGGAGCAGGCTGGCTACAGCAGGGCCCGAGAAGGCCAGGGAGTGGGACACGGGAGGAAGGCTGAGCCGGAGGAGCCCAGAGGAGGTTACATGGGGGGAGGAGGGAGAACCAGGATGCGACTGGAGGAACCGGACACAGACCCTGAACCAATCAGACCTACAGGGGAACACGTGTCCCGTCTGCTGGCCGCAGAGAATAGAGCAGAGGTCAGAGCCTCAGAGGAGCACCAACAACCGTGGAATGACAACGCCATTTACATCCAGAGAGGGGTGGCCCCTTCTGCCACTCACATCCAGACCAGGGGAGGAGCCATGACCGCTGACGCTCCCGTCTCCTCCAGCTGTGCCACGTCCGACACTGGGGCCCCTAGAGGGTCCATCCCGAAGACCCAAGGGCCAGGGCGGGTCAGAGAGGCAGCAGTCCTGCAACAATGGGCCAGTGAGGATGGGATCAGTAATGGAGACCAGAGCCCACCAGAGACCAGGGATGCTCGTGTCTCTGTGGCCAAGCTTCGCCACTCCTACCTGGAGAGTGCTACGACTGCTACTGCCCCAGTCATCAGGAAACCGAAGCTGTAGGTGGTTCTGTTCTGTAGTACAGTGCTGCTCTACAATGCATTCTGCTAGGAGCTGCTGCTGGCTTCTATCTGGAACTCACTAGCTTACCTGCACTGCCTAGCTAACACCAACCTCCTCCTGACTGAAATAATCAGTGTGATTATTCTGACCAGGGTTTCTGCTACTGACGCATAGTAGAAAACACTCATCCAATCACTAACGCTAGCAGTAGAGCATTTCGCGGCGGTGGGTTGACTGTTGCTTTCTCTTGGGCTGAGTGCTTGGACTACCTGATGGACAGTATGGTGTGTGTGTGTGTGTGTGTGTGTAACACAACGTAGTCGCAAATCTTTGCATGAGTATGGCTTCCACTGCTCCTCCAATGTAAAAATCAGGGGTTGGGATTTTGTGTGGAAAAGAAACGGAAAGCACGCCATCTTTTCCTTTCTTTCGTTCCCTCACCCTGCTATTTTTCTATTTCCTTTCTTCATCACCCCTTCTCCCTCTCTGCGAAGGGAGGAAGAGGTAGACTGGGTGTACCCGGGGGGTACGGGGGTCCCCTGGAGAGGGCAGCAAGTCAGTACGGATGTCCCGTGGAGGGGGGACAGGGGGCGCAGGCCCAGACTCTACATCTCACCTGGAGAGAGTAGAAAGACCTCGGAGAGATTTAGGACCCAGCCCATCACCTCCGCTGAGAGACAGCTGTCTGATAGGTACAGTGTGTGTGTACTGTGTTTTAATGCATGGCAAACACAGAATTAGTCCTCCTCGCTTCCCATGGGTAAAGACTAGAGAGAGTGGCTAGTTGTCGGCTGTGAAGGAACACACTTCACAGGCTCATCCAGAAACCTGTGCATTCTCTCTCAGGCAGCATGTACTGTAGGCTGTGTGTGGGTGTTTTCATGCATGGCGAATAAAGTCACACCAGAACCGGGTTTGGGAAATCCTGATTTAGCAGATGCTCTTATCCAGTGCGACTTAGTGCATTTATCTTAAGATAGCTAGGTGGGACAACCACATATCTCAGTCATAGTAAGTACACATTTCTTCAACTTTATCTACTTGGATATCAGCAGTCTGTGCTAGTAGGGGAAAAAAAGTGAAGTGCGATTTTCAGGAAAGGCAAGGGTATTAATTTTTTTTTTTAATTACGGGGTGGGGGGATTATTTAAGATACTCTTTAAAGAGGTACGTTTTCAGATGTTTTTGGAAGATGGGCAGGGACTCTGCTGTCCTAGTTTCAGGGGGAAGCTGGTTCCACCATTGGGGTGCCAGGACAGAGAAGAGCTTGGACTGGGCTGAGCGGGAGCTGCCCTCCTGTAGGGGTGGGAGAGCCAAGAGACCAGAGGTGGCAGAACAGAGTGCTCGGGTTGGGGTGCAGGGTTTGAGTGTAGCCGGAAGGTAGGAAGGAGAAGTTCCTCTTGCTGCTCCATAGGCAAGTACCATGCATGGTCTTGTAGTGGATGTGAGCTTCAACCGGAAGCCAGTGGAGTGTGCGGCGGCTCTGAGCTCTTCAGCCGGGCTGCAGAGCGAGACAGGCGATTAGAACCCAAAGGTCTGCCGCCTGCATGCTGAGTGTATCCTGCCAGTGGACATTTCATGTGACCAGCGTTCGCCCCGGGGGAATGAATTGCTCCTTTTGTTTACTGTTTAAGTTCCAGCAGTCCTCTCTCTCAGCAGACGTATGTCTGTAATGCTGTCTAATGCCTTAGACTGGACAACTCTCTCTGTTAGAATCTGATTTCTGTGCATGTGTCCCAAATGGCACCCTGTTCCCTATATAGTGCACAACTTTTGACCAGAGCCCTATGGTAGTGCATTATATAGGGAATAGGGTGCCATTTGGGACTCTGTCTGTGTAATTTCCGAACACCACCTACCCCATCACATTACCCCTGTTGCTGGAAAAACCTACTGCTGTCTTTTTGCTCTGTCTCTCCACTGCCTCTCTGGTAGCTGTTCTCACAGTAGCAGTCGTTTACCATCGATTCCTTACCACTTGATAATGTATTAATGTGAGTCCTGGTGAATTTCACTGATTCAGTACTTGTTTTTCCTTTCCTTCTTGCCTTTTCTCCTGAAGGTCTTGTTTGGGCCCAGATCTACCCAGCACTGAAGGTAAGTTCCTTTTGAACTTCTTTGGTAAAAGATAAAAGGACTTTTGTAGCTCAGATCTGAAAAGTAAAAGTGCATGCCATCGAATAAAGTTAATATGTTTACGTTCCGCAGGTCTGTAAATATTTGAAAAAGATTCCCTTTAATGAGAACAGCTTAATGACGCAAGGCTCATCATTACACTTCTGGTTTATAAAGGAGAAAATATAAAAACATTTAAACTCGTTTTATAGAGTCATTATTGGTGTTCACAGTAGCATAACATGGCTACGGTTTTACTGAGCAGAGTACTATTCATCCATCTGGTTCCTATAAACAAACACACACACACACACACACACACACACACACACACACAGTTTAATACCCACCCACCCTCAGTCTGTCTGCAGTGTAGCGCGGCATCAGTCAAAGGGGATGCTTTCAAGGTGATGTCATAATGTCCTGCAGTGTTTCTCAAATGGCACCCTATATAGTTTACTACTTTCAGACTAGAACTCTGGTGAAAAGTATCACACTACATAGGGAATAGTGTGCCGTTTGGGACGTAGACCCACACTCTCCCCGTACCCCTCTCAGATCACACCTGTATGTCTGTCTCTGCTGCTCTGTCTCCCAAACACACTGCAGTCACTTGCATCACGTGGAGGTTTAGCTTGTCTTTGTTTTATACACATTACAGATGGTGATGATCATGATGATTATAAACCTTTGGCCTGTAGTACTTTACAGCACAAGCTGTGAGATCTAACTCAATTTGCAGGCATTGGACTGGTATTTAAAGTCACTGTTTTGTTAATGATTCAAGCAAGCTGTTTTATTATGGGATCTGGGCTCTATTTGAGACACTTGGAGATAATTTTATTTTTGCTCTCTCGGTTCCTCCCCTCTGTCTGTCTGTCTCTCTGTCTGTCTCTGTCTCTCTGTGTTTCTCTGTCTCGTGTTTCTCTGTCTCTCTCTGTGTCTCTCTGTGTCTCTGTGTCTCTCTCTGTGTTTCTCTGTCTCTCTCTGTGTTTCTCTGTCTCTCTCTGTGTTTCTCTGTCTCTGTGTTTCTCTCTCTCTCTGTGTTTCTCTCTCTCTCTGTGTTTCTCTCTCTCTCTGTCTGTCTCTGCGTCTGTCTCTCTCTCTCTCTCTCTCTCTGTCTGTCTGCCTGTCTCTCTCGCTCTCTAGCGGATGAAGAGAAGTTGGATGAGCGGGCCAAGCTGAGTGTTGCAGCCAAGCGGTCTCTCTTCAGGGTACGAAAGAACACAATGTTGCTTTGATGTTTTCTCTCACCTGTGTTTACGTTGCTTCAGGGTAGCAAGGCGTGGACATGGCCTTTTTAGACACACTCACACACACACACACAGCATTCCTCCTCTGTGACTCAGTTACTCCACACATTGCTGTGAGCGGAGCAGCTGACTCTGAGCTTGATTTAGGCCTGACACGGACCGACAGAGAGAAATATGCTACTAATCAACTACATAAGCATTGAAACTGTCTACTTTTCCATACAGAGTCTTCTTTTGGCCAACTTGCATGTGGAATATACTGTCAAGAAGTGCATAGCTGTCCAAGTCATAGTAATAACACAGAGACCGCATATATTTTAACTGAAGTCATAGTTTGCTCAAGCAGAGCGGGTCAAGCCTTGCCTGGTCCAAGATCTATTTGTGCTCTTGCCAACTCCACTGCTGTCATTGGCATGACAATTCCACAACGAGTTGGCAAGAGAGCACACTGGCACAAGAGGGGAATAGGCGAAGTGAGAGGGCTGACCCGCCCCAAAAATGTGTTCACACAAAAATAAAGCGTACAGCAGTGGAAGTGGGTGTTTTTTGTATGGAGGTTAATGAGAGAATTTTGAGTTTGGTCAACATAAAATTGAATTGCTAATTTGCTATGTGAGGCCTATTTAATCAAAAAAGTTTTGTAATGCTTAGGTTGTAAGAATGTACTGATATAAGTGGACGCGGTGACATACCTCCTGCTTCCTGCCTTCTGCCTTTGCACACCTTGATTTCCATTGTTAGAATGGAGACTTTAGTATCTTGTCAGTATATAGAGCGTCTTTTCAGGCACTCGGGCTAGGTCAAGCACAGTGATCATGTGCTTTCTTTTCAGTCTCATGCTAACATCTTGGGCTACATCATGATTAACTCTTTCCTCGTATTTTAAGACAAAGTCCACCTTCACTCTCTATGCAAATGCATCATTGTTAAGATTTACAAAATTAAACCTTGCAACAACCATTTCTTATACTCTTTTGATTAAGAACTTGGGCAACTCCAGAGGCGCTGGTTAACTGAACACATTTCTTTAGTCTATGGATTGGAATTATATTGGAATACATTTTTATCTATTGGAGTCCCTTAACTGAGAGTTTGAGCTTTGCCTTGAAAATATGACAGATGACTTTGGTCTCCTTGCATGGCCTCCGCAGGAGTTGGAGAGGAACACTGACGGGGGCGCCCCCAAACCCCAGTCCCGGAACGCGGCCATCGAGAGGCGACTGAGACGCATCCAGGACCGCTCCCGTACCCAGCCAGTCACCACTGAGGAGGTGGTCATCGCTGCCACGTAAGTCCCAACTACGCCTGCCTCTCCCTCCATCTCTTATATTTCTTCATCCTTCCATTCCTCCGTCTCTCTCTCCCCTCTCTCAGCTGCCTGTATGGTGGGAGAGCTGGAGGGATGGAGAGGATTGTGGGCTAGTCGGTTGTTTTAAATCTCTACCCATGAACTGTAAAATGTCAAAGGACCTCAACCTTTGATATCAACACGTTAGGAAACGGACTTAATAGCTATGGGTTACCCGTCAAACCGAAACCTCGAACCTAAGCCCTTTTCTAGGAAGTCTCACTCCTCTGTGTTCTGAGAGGTGACACTGTTGGCTCTCTGAGTCACAGTTAATGTGATTCAGGTGCTATGTTAATTGTGACATACTGTATTTTCCCATATATTGTTCTCACATTCCTAACCCTTTAGAAGAGGTGGGTATTTGATATGCCTCCTTTGATGAGTCCCAAATGGCACCCTTTTCCCGGCACAGTGCACTACTTTTGATCAGAGCCATATGGGCCCTGGTCAAAACAAAAGTAGTGCACTATATAGTGAATAGGGTGCTATTTGGGACTCAACTGTTTTGTTGATCGAAAGCCACAGTCAGTGTTTTGATTGAGAACATGATATGTGATTTGCCTGCTGGTTGCAATCAGTTGGTTAAGGCTGTTACCTTTCTACCTTACGTCATGTTGGCTGACAAGTCACAGGGTTTGACTCGCTCTCCAAGGGCTTGCCACTGATACATAGAAAATATTAACTATACAATATACTCACTATACTCATTCCTATTGTGACGTCTACCATCTTCATTTAAAGGGGAATTCCATTCGAAAGTCGAATAATTACATTATTTTCATGTTTTCCTTGCCCATTTAAAGAATGATCTGGATTTTTTTCTTCTCTGTCCTCTATCTTCCTGTTGTCACCTGTGTCCCTGTGTGGCTTTCTCTGTCCCCTCTGTCTGTACTCTCTCTGTAAAGTGTCCCGGCTCAAACTGTGTCTGTCGATACGGCCCTAGCACGCATCCCTAGCCACACACTAGTCAGCTGCACTGTGACACCGTACAGGTACACGCACGTCAGCACACGCGTGTGCATGGTGTTTTGAGGTTAGGGGTCATCCTGACCTGGCCCAGGCACTAACCTTACTAGCTTGGTCCCAGATCTGTTTGCGCTATCAAATGGTCAGAGTTGGTAAGACTGCACAAACAGATCTGGGGCCAGGCTACAACTTAACAGCAGCTACGCTGGTTGAATGCATGTTTGGTTTTTAACACTGGCTCTGTCAGTCACTATGATAATAAATGTTGTTGTTGTTGTTGGAAGCAGACTAGCATTTGGTCCAAACAGAGTCTGCATCTGTGTTTGAATATATTAAACTGTCGTGTGGAAATCATTACTATAAATCTGTTCTCACCAGGTCAGGAGTAGTCTTTGGATGTGTTGCGCCCCCTTGTGTATTTTGAGGGAACGACCTGCATGTTTAATCTGTTGCATACATTTCTCCATTTTCTCTTTTCTCAACACTTTATGATCTGACACGGGTTGTCAAATTCATGGTATCCAAGATCTCTTACAACCTCTCAAAAGATGGAGCACAGAAATTGTGCTTTGTCAATCGGACAATACAATGATACTCTATTAGTCTACACTGTGGGCTATGCACTGGACTGTACACCCTGTCTGTCTCTGTGTGTAGCATGGCTCTGGCCTGCATGTATTGGCCTGCCTTCATGTTTTTCTCTCCCCCCCCCCCCCATCTCCCCCTCTGTGGGTGTTCCTCCTCCCAGCCTGCAGGCGTCCTCACAGCGAAGCGCTGCGGCCAAGGAGCAGGCCAGGGAGGCACGACGGGTCCAGGATGCCCTGGAGGTCCAGAGGGAAGGGCAGCGCACCACCGCCAAGCTCCTCCAGACGACCTCCTCTTTCCCCGAGGAGTCCCAGGCCCATCACCATGTATGTATTGAAACGTCCTCTCACTGTCAACTGTATTTATTTTCAGCAAACTTAACGTGTAAATATTTGTATGAACGTAAGATTCAACAACTGAGACATAAACTGAACAAGTTCCACAGACATGTAACAGAAATGGAATAATGTGTCCCTGAACAAAGGGGGGGTCAAAATCAAAGTAACAGTCAGTATCTGGTGTGGCCACCAGCTGCATTAAGTACTGCAGTGCATCTCCTCATGGACTGCACCCGATTTGCCAGTTCTTGCTGTGAGATGTTACCCCACTCTTCCACCAAGGCACCTGCAAGTTCCCGGACATTCCTGGGGGGAATGGCCCTAGCCCTCACCCTCTGATCCAACAGGTCCCAGACGTGCTCAATGGGATTGAGATCTTGGCTCTTCGCTGGCCATGGCAGAACACTGACATTCCTGTCTTGCAGGAAATCACGCACAGAACGAGCAGTATGGCTGGTGGCATTGTCATGCTGGAGGGTCATGTCAGGATGAGCCTGCAGGAAGGGTACCACATGAGGGAGGAGGGTGTCTTCCCTGTAACGCACAGCGTTGATTGCCTGCAATGACGACAAGCTTAGTCCGATTATGCTGTGACACACCGCCCCAGACCATGACAGACCCTGCACCTCCAAATCGATCCCGCTCCAGAGTACAGGCCTCGGTGTAAACGCGAATCCGACCATCACCCCTGGTGAGACAAAACCGCAACTCGTCAGTGAAGAGCACTTTTTGCCAGTCCTGTCTGGTCCAGCGACGGTGGGTTTGTGCCCATAGACGACGTTGTTGCCGGTGATGTCTGGAGAGGACCTGCCTTACAACAGGCCTACAAGCCCTCAGTCCAGCCTCTCTCAGCCTATTGCGGACAGTTTGAGCACTGATGGAGGGATTGTGCGTTCCTGGTGTAACTCGGGCAGTTGTTGTTGCCATCCTGTACCTGTCCCGCAGGTGTGATGTTCAGATGTACCGATCCTGTGCAGGTGTTGTTACACGTGGTCTGCCACTGCGAGGACGATCAGCTGTCCGTCCTGTCTCCCTGTATCGCTGTCTTAGGCGTCTCACAGTACGGACATTGCAATTTATTGCCCTGGCCACATCTGCAGTCCTCATGCCTCCTTGCAGCATGCCTAAGGCATGTTCACGCAGATGAGCAGGGACCCTGGGCATCTTTCTTTTGGTGTTTTTCAGAGTCAGTAGAAAGGCCTCTTTTTAGTGTCCTAAGTTTTCATAACTGTGACCTTAATTGCCTACCGTCTGTAAGCTGTTAGTGTCTTAATGACTGTTCCACAGGTGCATGTTCATTAATTGTTTATGGTTCATTGAACAAGCATGGGAAACCGTGTTTAAACCCTTTACAATGAAGATCTGTGAAGTTATTTGGATTTTTACAAATTATCTTTGAAAGACAGGGTCCTGAAAAAGGGAAGTTTCTTTTTTTTGCTGAGTTTTTATATTGTTTTTATACATTTATTATCAGTAAGCCTTATCGTGCATGCCGGCCAAAACAAGAGGACCACAATGAAAATAAGTTGTTTTTTTCCAAACGTTTATTTTGTGTGTTATCCTCAATGATTTTAAATGTGCTGTATCAACATGTGTGGTTGAATTGTTTTTAAATTGTAAAATGAATCAAAAACCCAGCAGGGCCAGGGGGACGCAGAGCCGGATCTGTCCACGCTCAGCCTGGCAGAGAAGATGGCTCTGTTCAACAGGCTGGCCCAGCCTGCTACCAGGGTGACCCGGACCAGGCCTGATACCAGGGGGCGCAGGGCCAACGCCCGCTACCAGACCCAGCCCATAACCCTGGGAGACATGGAGCAGGTAGTAACAGAGATGTATTTATTTACAGTAAATGGTGCAGGTAGGAGGGGATCTAGCTGTATCTGTGTGACGTGATCGTTGCTGTAAGCATTTACTAAGATGGTTGTTCCTTATCTCGTTCTAACATTGATTCAACCCTCTTATCCCACTTTCAACATAACCCATTGTTTGTGTGGTAACCTGTTTAATACCGTTTCATAGAAATGACGCACCTTTTTCCTAAGTGTGTGAGACTGTATGTATCTGTGGTACAGGACCCGTCAGACACAGACCCTTGTGATGAACAGGAGCTGTGTGATGAGGGCCCAGTAGAAGTCCCTCAGGGCCAGTGTGACATCGCACATGTAAGGCTCTAACACGGCACGGCGACCATTTTGGCTCGCCAGTGTCCCCGCATTTACCAGTAACTGGTGCTACGCTTGGCTCTCGGCAACACTTCAGCATTGTCCATGTGCTTCTTGTCGTCGATTGTTGAACAATTACAGAACATGCAATAGCATTAACTGTGCGAGCAGCAAGCTTCCCATTTGTTTATCATGAGGCCGTTTCATGTGGTTCTTGAAACCACTGCACTCAGAACTGGTGCGTTGACCCAAATTAGAACATCAGATTCATTAGAGAAACGTCTTACTCTTGTTTCAATGAATACAATGGCATAAAATAACTTAGCAAAAAAAAATGGTGTTGATGCTCTTCTGATTAATCTGGCTGGGGCTGCTTCATATGAAAGTGAAGTATAGTGTCAAGCATGCATGCCCTAGCAGCTTTTGAAGAAAGACTGATTCAATACGCTCGTGTGGCTTCTGCTGCTAGTTCCTCATTGGCCTGTGATGAAGAGAGTGTTATGTGATGTGCGAACGAAGGCTGGGCATGGCTTAGTCTCAAAAGGGACCATATTCCCAATATTTCACTGAGCTGCTCTTTGGCATGAAAGAACCCTCTGTGGCAGAGGAGAGGAAAGGAGGAGAGGAGAACAAAGGGCTGATCCCTGGTTCATTCTCTGAATGGAGGGATGGACTGAATGCAGTTATTTGTCAGCCAGGGTTCATCTCCCACCAGTCACTGTGGTAAACAAGGTTGTTGTGACTGAAAGAGCGGGACGAATGAATGGACTTGTTGGACTGGTTAGTAAGCCATATATTATAGTGTTGAAACACAATAACTCTTAAAGATCCAGTGCAGTCAAAAACATGGTTTTCCTTGGTTTTAAATATATTTCCACACTATGCGTTTGGAATAATAGTGTTAAATTGTGAAAGTGATCATGTGTAAGAGCTGTTTCAAAAGACCACCTGAAACTTCAGCTTGTTTTGGTGGGATGGAGTTTTGGTCTGCCTAATGACATCACCGCGTGGTAAATTAGTTAATAGACCAATAAGAAAGACTTCCAAACCTCTCTGCCAATAACTGCTCGTTTTCAGTTTTCCCCTCCCTAATCAGACAGTCCTAGCAAAATTCTTGCTTGAGAAATTGCTCTTGCTAAGAAGCTGTTTTCAATCAACATGTTCAACAACAAAAAAACCACAGTAAGGTACTTAGTTGTTACCCAGAAATGATTTGATATTGAGATAAAAGCGGCTGCCATTGGACCTTTTTAACATTGTTCACTCTTTAATGGTGTCAAGGTATGCTTGTTCAGACAGAGCATTGAGATCTGACTACTTTCCTCTCCAAAACAAACTCATCTCTTAAATGTACAGTGTTATAATCTGAGCAGATTACCTCAAAGGAAATATGTAATTATGTCCAGTTTTTATGACCATCGTAAAAGTGATTTAATGAATCTGTCCTTTGACTTAAAAAGATGAGGAATGTCATTGAACTTGATGCTGTCCACTGAATAATCATAATATCACTAATGTGTAGGACCTCTTCAGACCATAACAGGATGTGGAAATGATGTAAAATGAGACTGTTCATAAAAGGGAATGACTTGAGGTGTTATCTTTATTGAAAAACATCAGATTTTTTTATTGTATTATAATCTTATTGTTTTTGTCAGTTGAAGAGTGACATTTCTGGGTCAATGCTAAATTAATGGATGATTGCATCAGTATCTCCTCTGCCTTGAAAAGTCTGATTCAGTTTAATTCTTGAAGTATGATTCTGTGAATAGAGAGTGAGACTGGGTGGCTGAACTCATCCTGCCCTTCAGAATGTTGGCTGCATCTGGGGTCCTGTTCATTAGTGCAGACTGTAGCAAAAGGTTTTGCAACCGAAAACAAATGGTTCTTAGGTCCCTCCCCGTTTCGGTCAGCTTCTGTTTGGTGCCCAGTGAATATGACCCTGGACTCGCTGTGCTTTGTGGTTGTCAGGGGGGTGGGGTGGGTTGCCATGACTGGTCGGGCATGGCTTTGTGATGTGGGCTGTGATTGGCTAGCTAGACTGCAGTTCTTTTGAACCACACGGGCAGGAAGTGCAATGAGTCACTGTGATTACTCAGCATGATTATCTAGAGTTCCATTGTCTGTCTGGTAGCCCTGCTGCCTCTGTTACCGGGCGGACGAGCGCCTCTGCTGAGGGAACTTCTGTCCTCTCCAGCTGACCTTGTTTTTTTCTCTTTCTCCCTGCCTCTCTTTGTCCTCGCTCTCTCGCGCTCTCTCTCTCGCTCTCTCTCCACACAGATCCAAGCCGGGACCAGGTTCGACCAGCTCTCCTCGTCAGCGCTCAGACCTGGGGCCACGGTCTCCACAGACCACGCAGGGGACATCCACCTGGCCGGGGGAAGCCCCGCCGAGGCCGCTCTCGCTGCACCCAACCCTGGGTACTACGAGAGGTCCATCCCCCGGCACACCAGTCCTCCCACCCAGATCACAGAACCCTCCAGTGCAGTCTGGAAGTCTGTGCCCGGTCCCCACCACCAGGCCTCTCTGGATCTCCAGAGCCACCAGGCTGACACGACCACAGTCCTCCCCCAAGGAGAGGAGAGCGGTCTGGGAGGAGGGAAGAGGAAGCTGCCCTCTCCAGAGGGAGTTGTCCGACAGGCCCCCCTGCCCCAGCCTCCGGCCTGTTCTGGGGGGACAGAGTGGGAGGAGGTGCAGCGTGTAGCCAGGAGAGGTGAGGGTGTGGAGCTCCAGCACTCGTTGATGCGATCAGAGAGCCAGGACCAGAGACCGCACCAGGAGCAGAGGGGCTATCTAAGACAGTTATCACAAGAACTCCAGGACCCAGACAGACACAGGTCAAAGGTCATCAGCACTGGTAAGATAAGCCTCCAGGGGAACAAGCCTGACCGTATGAAGGAGGGATGTCGCGATGTTTTTTCTGTTTGTCTTACACTTTCTCTCACTCTGCTCTGCCTCTTTCGTTCACTCATACTTTTTAAAAATCCACTTCAAATTCGTATAAATTCTCTCTCGCTCTCCCTCATATGAGTGATAATCGCTTGGTGTGAGGGGGAGAGAAGAGTCTTATGAATTCATTTCCCATTCCGATCATCCGACAGATCACGTTAGCTCAATAAAATGTCTGTCTTGGTGCACCCACTTCTATGGCTCCTGTTGTATAGTAAATCCATGTACACTACTCAAATGACAACATCAACACAGCCAATACTACCACGTTTCACATATCCGTTGGCTTTATCTCTCATAAAAAAAAACAACATTTCCTGTTGTCTGTGAATTATGTTCACACACACTGGCTGTGGTTTCCCTTCGAGCTTTCCCTTATTTGACTGTGGGTAGACGCTAGCTAGCGCCGCCCTATTTGTCTCATCAGTCTGTATCAGCGTTTTACTTGTCCCCCAGCGTGCTAGGGCACGGACCAGTCAGAAGAAATATGTCAACACAGACAGACTGAGGGAGAGGGAGAGAGAGAAGGGCTGTAGTATCCAGAGCGGCCAGTGGCCTGATACACAGAGAGATAAGTTGCTAGACGCAGATAGGCAGGCGGAGAGGCATAGAGAGAGACTGGGAGAGGAGGGCTAGTAGTGTCCAGGGGGCCACAGAGGGAGAACTAGCTAAAGAGATGGAGGAACACGTGTGATTAGTGGACTGTGTTACGTTGTGGCTTCTGTAGAGGGAGGTTCTCTGTTACTGTTCACACAACTAGAGAAGGAACTAGGCAGAGGCTTTTAACACTGTTAGTGGCCGCTTCTCATCAGCTGTTTCGAGCTTCTCGATAAGTGAGTTTGGTATGTGTGTGCGTTCACGTGAACATGATTGTGCTAGGAGCTCACCTAACGCCTTTGTGTGTGTGTGTGTGTGTGTGTGTGTGTGAGCAGAGCTGCCGGAGCCCAGTGTGTCATCGCAGAGTGCAGCAGTAGCAGCAGGGCTGCTAAGGAGTGCATCGCTCGCTCCACACACACTGCTGCCTCAGGAGCTGGGCGGAGTGGGCACACACACGGACCACAGCAGTGATCTGGGACACACGCTCAGCCTGGTCCAGTCGGAGCAGGAGGACATGGAGCTCTCAGAAGCCATGTCAGCTAGACAGATGTCCATCAAAGACAGGTGAGTCCCTCTTCTCTCTCATCAAAGAAACCCTGGGTTGATCAAGCAAAGCCTCTAGGCAGTTGTCGTCTCTGTACAGCTTGTTTGGGTCATTCTTATTGGGAAGGCAACTTTGGTCATTCTTTGTATACGCGTGTGTGTGAGCGCATATGACATTTTGTCTTCGTTCTCTGAATCATTGTCTGAACGGGCTGTCGTTTTTGTGAATGCTGTGTTTGTCTGTCAGAGGACAGCAACAGCCACATGCATTTTTTGAATTGTTGACTCATTTTGGATATTGACACTGACTCGGTCAGTATGTTTACGCTTGTCGACTTGTATCGGCTTTTGATCTGAGGTGGTCAAAATTATAAGACTGTTTGTTTTAATGTTATATTAGTATGTTCTGGAGAGAGGATGAGAGACTCACCTTGACTCTCATTGTGGAATGTAGGTTACAAAGAAGATGGAAGGAAAGCGAGGGAGAGGGAGCGTTGGGTTCATTTGATGTGAGTTCAAGGAATTTATTTTGGGCGTTAGGTTGGCTGGTTGGTTGGTGCGGAGCACCCCAGGAGGAAGACGGCAATGAAGGTCGACGAAAGAGAGCGAGAGAAAGAGGGAGAGAGAAAGAAAGATGCTCTAACTAACCCCATTCCTCTTGTCTCTGAGAGGGAGAAAATGAGGTTGTGTCCTGTTGCTGCTGCTGCAAATGAACCTGCTATAGCCACAGTAGCTAGCCACCTCTATGGAGTGATATTATTAGTGCCAGCAGAAATTGAGTTTGAATTGGATTAGAATTTAGCACTACTGTCATCTCTTATCCTCATCAACAAGATTCGGGCTCCATGAAATGTACTGTCATCTCTAGAACTAGGTTTATCTCTATGCAATATGAGGCCTTTCCATTAACTGCAGTTTTTCAGAAAAGCATTTACAAAGTGTATCTAGATGGCTAGTCTCTTTATGAACTACTGTAGCTGCCAATTGTAGTCGGTGTCAGTGTTTTGCCATGCTCTGGAGCAATTGAGGAACGACTGTGGATATATGAATTTAAATCTAATTTAGGGAATTGGAATGTTTCCAATACAAAAGTATTACAGACCAGTGGTTTCACACATCCAATCAAATAATTACATAAGCTTGTTTGTCAGTTTGCCCATGTCAACAAGCTGGCCATTGAGTGGCTGCAGTTATTAACCCACCAGGCTATGATTGGATTTTAAATTGATTGATGACATAATGGAATAACGTGGTTCCAACGAACTCCAAAACTCGTCCATTCAGAACTATCTGCAAAGTTGAGTGTGCGTCCACTCGAGTCATCCATGAAACGCATGAAGGATCTATCATTGGTGTCACATCACGTCACAAATTCTTTAGCGGGTTGTGGAACCTCTTGCCTCAACAAGGTCTCTGTGTGTGCCCAGCGACTTGCTTTGTCGGCACTTCTTCTCAGCTACAGCTGCAGATGTCTCTCTGTGCCACCATCCATTTCTACAGTCGTCATTCTCTGACCCGTCCCCCAAAACAGGACGTACACTCATGGGGGACACAGAGCAGTGTTTGTGAAAGGAGCAGAGGGCACCAGTACCCCAGGCTTTAGGACCACTATGCCCTGTCTCCTACTAGGAATGCGTCCCCTTTATAGTGTACACATTTTTACCGGAGTCTCCTAGAAAGCGTTCTCTACCCTCGAGGTTACATATAGTCTGAAGCTGGAGATAAAGTGTTCTTCAGTCTTAGTCTCTGAGGGACTGACAATGAGTACGGTTACATGCACACAATAATACGATTTATTGTGGATAGTCTGATTTTAATATAGTAATTTGATTAAAACATTTACATGCTTTGCAAGAAGAAAGATTTCCCTAATAATCCTGTTTACATGGACACATCTGAAATCAGGCTACCTGATGGCACTCTGATAAATGCAGAAAATCGTCAATCCAAAATAAACATTCCATTACAGTAAACATTATTTTTGGGAAGCATATTTGATTCTGAGTTCGGACATATAAAGTTTGTATGTAAAACTACTTCTAAGACGCATACATTCAGTTGTTTCCGAACTCCCTTCATTCGCGCTAAAGAGGGAGGCTCGCTGGGCTGGTGCTAGCACAGATCAAATACACTGCTGGAACTCCGATTTAAGGTCTTTATATGTCCTAGTAATTTGAGAGAGTACTCAGAAAACCAGGTGTTTTAATCAGCGTAGGCTTACTTCGATTTTGACCTTACACCGATTAAGATAAACAGAGTAAGGTGTTTACATGACTATTGCGTAATCTGCCTACTGTCATAATCAGTTTAATATCTAATTATTACTGTGCATGTAAACGTACTCACTGTGACTATGATCTGGATTTATCTGTGACTCAATTTACAGTAAAATATATACTGTATCTGTCTTGTCTGTACCAATTTAGTATATTTCGAATGTACAGTATGTGCCTGTTTTGTTGCTTGATTGATTTAGCTGAAACAGTATTTCTACCTCTGAAGTCTGTTTAATTCCTCCATTCAGGTACATGCTAGCCATTGCCAATGGTACATTCTACTATTTTGATGGCCATAATGAGAACATCATCTTCAGTATACTTCAGCTCTTCCTCTGGTAGAGATTTGAAGTGAAGCTAAATCAAACATTGGCAGCGGACTCGCAACTCTTGTTTCAGCATGACTGACAGTTGTAAGTGTTGTTTAGTCAAACTGTGCTTTAGGTGTCACCATCAGTGTGTTTTAGCTATAGTCCAGATCCCTGACTGAGGCTGACAGTGTGCCTGCAGTGTGACCTGCTCTAGCCTGCTCTGGTTAGCCTCAGTTCCACTCTGTGACTGCACACAATTTTACCAGAGCTTTATGGGCCCAAACATGGAGTTGGCGCATCCACGCTCTCTGATTGGCTCCTAAATTCTAAATAATGGACCTAGTTTATAGGGGTGACTGGCTTGGTCTAGGCTAAGGAGATGTTCTGGGTTCTAAGTGTATGACTAAGCAGAGACCATAGGGGCATCTATGGCTGACTAGAACTATCATCTATCATCTTTCATAAAATAATAATAATAATAAATATCTATCTCTCCATGAGGTAGAGTTCAATCAGCTCTCACACAGCGTGTTGTCATTGATCCAATTGACCTTTACTGGACAGCTGGGTCAAAGAATCCACTACATGCTGTATAATGTGTATTTTGTGTGTTGTACAACCATGGCCCCCGGGCAGAACCAAGACTGACATCTATCGTGCTCGCTCTCGCTCTCACTCTCTCGCTCTCAGGCTGGCCCTATTGAAGAAGAGTGGCGAGGAGGACTGGCGGAACAGGATTAATAAGAAGCAGGACGTGGTGAAGGTGGCCGTGTCAGAATGCCACGCTCAGCTATGGGAGGTGGAGCAGAGCTTCAAGAAGAAGGTAACCTGACTCACTACTGTATATACTGTCCTTTATTCACACATCCAGTCATACAACTATACCCCTACTATAGACTCTACATAAACACATGCTTAGGTTTTTGGCTGATGCAATAAAAACAGTCAAACAAGCTGTATTTCAGGCATCATTTTGGGGAAATCACACCCCATAATTTGCTGCCCTCTTTTCTAATCAGGTGAATCCGAAAGGGAAAATTGTAAGAACGCTTGCCTAAATTAATGAATCCTATGTGCAGAGGTTGGTGCTTCATCCCCGTATCTCCTTTAAGACACCTTTCACTTGTATCAGTGAACATAAATAAAGTGAAATGATTGGTTGAATATGAACTGGTTGTAAATGGCTATTAAGACACAGCTGTGGGTATCTATAAACAGAGGGGTTGTCATCTATTGTGTGTCTGTCCTTTCTTTATAGTCTCTCATTTCGGATTCACTTATAAAGCTACTTATGATGCTTATAAGCTTCTTGAGGCAATTCATTGTACCAGAACTGCTTTGCATATCTTAAACTGCATTTACACTCAAATATGATAGTCATTGCTGATTACTTAGATGTATTTTGAAAAGGTATAGTATATGTAGTACTGTATTTATACCGTATTACCGTATTGTGTTAACCTACGTTGTCTAAGTTGCTAGCTCACAATGTGTGTATTCTGAAGACATTGTATGGTTGTTTCCAAGTAAATGTAATACTTAGAAGACCAGATTATATATGTAAGGTTGGCATAGTTTCCCTAAATCAGGTATTCTGTCCAAGAGAACTTCCTGCGCAATATCAGGAAATGACACGACAGACGTGGTTTCTGGTTTTGCACATTTATTTGGCAAACATGAGGCTATGAGTCGAATTCTATTATTTGAAACTTAATTTGTCTACTGTTTTCTTTCAAACCTGCATGTGTATCTTGTCTTTAGCCTACTATAACCAATACATGTTCTATATAACTTATCCTATTCTGTCTATTTGTCTTTCCTTATGTTTGCATGTCTTTTTTCATCTAAAATAAACTTTATTTCAATCGCTGCATGCGCACTGTAGTTTTGTTATATTGTGTAAGTGTTTTTAAAGGCTGGGGTTGATGATTTTCCACATACCTCTCTTTTTAGGACTATTCACAACCTCACCTATCCCATTTCCTTCATGTTTTGACTCCCCAATCCTTGTTTTTTCAGCTTTGTCCATTTTTTTACATACACAAGTTTTTATTGACTATAACTGAATTAAAATATTTCCTGGTTTTCCACATGCGATGAAACTAGGCCAGAAAAAATGCACACTGCTCTTGTCAAATCATTACGCCCTTAAAGGATACATATATGAAACCAAAAGGAGGCTTTTAAGGACTGTGTCCATATTCATAAAGCATCTCAAAGTAGAAGTGTTGATGTAGGATCAGTTTTCCCTTTTAAATCATAATGAATAAGATTACATGGACGGGGGGGGGGGGTCTGACCCTAGATCGACACTCTTACTCCAAGAGGCTTTATGAATACAGACCCTGATATTTTACATCTGTAGATTAAACTAAGAACACTGAAGAAACTAAATGTATAAAGTTAAGATCAAATCATAAAAGTGAAACGAGTAATGAATCAACTAAAACAGGCCAGGCTTAGGGCTTCAAAGGAAATCAAGAGGAAGGATGGATGTTTTTGTTTCCTCTTTTTTCAATTCTTTTTTTTTCAATCAAGACCACTTTTCTGAGATCAAAGGAGATGTACTGTAGCCTACAACACAGTAGGAATTAGATAGATTAGGAAAAACAACCCCTTTATGAGATTAGAATCTACGATGTCATTGTCCATGGTTATTAAGAGTTTGAACTACACCGAGTCACTGCTTAAAATTCTAAGAGTAAAGCTACAAAAGCAGGGACTGAAAGTGAAAAAATTGTTGATCCTAAAAACTTTGTTTGAATGACACCTGCTAGAATATAGTTTGCATTTCAAATTCCAAATATCAATGAAGGTTTAGAGGGTGAGGGAGAGAGTGGTTGATGTTTTGGGTCAGCCATGCGGATGACAACCTAGTCTATAGACAAGAACACTTGTCCTTTTTCTCCCTGCTGTGTTTCTTTAGGAGGAAGGGATGATGATCGATGAGTTGGCTGTGTCTGATCAGCTCTGGGTAAGACCAGTGTGTTAGTGGGGAACCTAACACACACCCTGGGGTGTTATACACACTACTAGTAGTGCTTTATGGGTGAAGGATTGCAACATTCCGGTAACTTCTCAAAGTTCCCAGTTTTTACAGAAATCCGATTGGAGGATTCCTGGATTTCCTGCTTATTCCCACCTGATTCCAGGAATCTTCCAACTGGGATTCCTTGAAGACCTGGGAATTTTGGGAAAGTTACCCTATCAGTTTTTTATTTTTTTATTACCATGGTGATGGTGTGTTGACGTGGTGTGAGTTACCTGCTCTAATTCAGTCCTGCTGCTCATCAGATGTCATGCTGTAGCTTCAAGTCTCAAGGCTGTCTCATCGTGTGTGAAGTGGTGATTTCATGGGGTGCACTCACTAACTGTAAGTCGCTCTGGATAAGAGCGTCTGCTAAATGACTAAAATGTTAAATGTGATGCTGAAACCAATTCACCAGCTCGTATTCCCTGTCCATACAGCCGTTTAACCCAGACGTATAAACTGCGTGACATTGAATGTGTTGGATGAAGGTGTGCGCGCAGGCTATGACAGCAATCCCCATTTACAAATCACTGTCAAAGTACAGATCTGTAAAACATAAGGTTGGAGGTATCACTGTTTTTCCATCTACTGTTTTATTCCCCTCTGTCATTGATTATCTCCTTTCTGTGGGTCTGTCTGTTTGACCTGTTTGTCTGTCTTCCGTGGCCCTCAATAGGAGCCTGTCTTTTCCACTGCTTTCTCTCCTCCTCCTGATCTCCCTGACGATGATCTAAGTCAGTGTGTCGATCAGTACAGCCAGGTGAGACCATGCATCCAGTGTGATGGCCTGCATGCTGTAGCCTGCTTGCACAGCCAACCTAGTTGCCTGCTGGGCTAAGCTGTTAAAGCCTCTATGCTTTATGCAGTTAGTGTTATTGAGTAATAACGCGCTTATTCCCATGTATCTGTACCAAAGATCATGATGCATCTGTAGGCTTGGGTATACAGTATCTTTCCATGGTAAGCTCATCTACCTTATGAAGGCAAATTCACTATATCCACTGTATACTCTCCCCAAAAATGCCTAAGCCTGTTTTCTGCTCGAACTCTCGTGTTAAATCCGTTACCCTGCAGTTCTAGGACTCTCGAGTTGTTCTTACTCCTAGAGTGCTAGCCATGCGTCTGGAGGCTTTGTAATGATGTTGATGCTACATCGCTTTGACGCTTTATGGTGATGGCGAGATGAAATGTCACACCTTTTGGCTAGGCTTCTGGCTAGCTCTCTCTCTTAGGCTTCATCCTCTCCTCTCTGTCCTCCACTCTTTCCTCTCATTTCACCCCCTCTTCTTTCCTTCCTCCGTTCTTCCTTTCCTCCCCCCATCACCCATCTTCCCGGTCATGTGAAGGCTACCAGCCCCCCCACGTCCAGCATCTTCAGCCCCCCCACGTCCAGCATCTTCAACCCCCCCACGTCCACAGTGGCCAGTCCCTCTATGGCTAGGGATGAGAGGCACCCCTGGAGACGGAAGGTGACACATTCACCCACTCCAGTAATCAAGTCCCACACTCCAATAGTCAACAGTCACAGGCTGCGTCCCAAATGGCAACCCTATTCCCTACATAGTGCACCACTTTTGACCAGAGTGAGGGGCCCTGGTCAAAAGTAGTGTACTATGTAGGGAATAGGGTGCCATTTGTGACGCGCACACACACACTCACAGATAGACCTGCGGTCATACGCAAAGGGCTACTGTGCACAGTCACACATACAGTAGGTCTAGTGTATGGACATATACTGAACTTGGATGTTGGCTGCAGAATATTTGTTTCTAGGGGACCCCTGTTTGAGGATGTCTGTGTGTGTATACTTATGTAAATTAACTTTTTGTGGATGTTAGTATTTGTGCGGTTGAAAAACATAATTATAACAGGTGAAAGTGTGTGTGTGTGCTCGACATGCCTGTGATGCTTTGTGTTGTGACGATCATGACGTCTTCCAACTCCCATGTTCTGCTTCTGTTGAGATTTGGTTCTCCTACAATAGATGAACTGTAAATTAGTATTGTGCATTCATGCCATCCACTCCCATCCACTCGATCTACATTCTCTCACTTCACTTCTCTCTGTCAACCCAGTCCATTCATATGGTTGTGAAGGCGTTTTTCTAAAGGGTAGTCTGTGGATATGCTAGAGTAGAGATGAGGCGTTTTGTTTTTGTGAAGGTCTGTGAGTATGCCGGCCACTTTCTGAGCCAAGGTGGTTGTTTTGATGTTGTTCAGTGGTGTGCTACATTTAGTCAATGGAGATTATTAGTTAGAAATCTCTGTGGGGTTGTGGTGTAGTACTATCTTCAAAGTTCTGAACATTTCACCTCATTGAATGGCACCCTATTCCTTATATAGTGCACTACTTTAGACCAGGGTCCATCAAAAGTAGTGCACAATAAATAGGGGGCCATTTGGGACACGGCCAATGTTTCACATCACTGAATACACCCCGCGTCCCCCTAACCTTGTGTGTGTGTGTGTGTGTGTGTGTGTGTGTGTTGTCCTAGCAGAGGATGGGAGGAGCAGAGGAGACTACGCAGACCCAGAGCCGGCGTATAGAGATGTCTATCCAGGAGAGGAAGCAGCTGATGGTGGCCCGAGAGGAGGCCTGGAAGTCCAAGGGCCTCGGGGCTGCCAACGACTCCACGCAGTTCACCGTGGCCGCACGCATGGTCAAGAAAGGTCAGTGGTCATCTAATGCTTTATGGTACACACGCAAAAACACATGCGTGTATACACACGCATACGATCACGCGCGCACACACCCAATACACATCCACAGAGCTAGGGTTTGTGAAGTCACAGTGTGTATTTCACTCAGGCAGTTGTAAAACACATTTCACTGCATCTATCCAGTATATATGTCAAAATACTTGGTCAGAAAATTATATAATGGGCCTCCTATTATCCAATTAGCAGTATGACCTACATTAGGTTCGGTACTTGTCAGACAGACAGACGTATTTCCTGTCCCCAGTCATGCCCTCACTTACTTCAAGTCTCGTCTGTTGTTTCATGTTGTGGAACATCCAATTATATTGTCTGTGTCTGTTTCAGGTCTGGCTTCTCCTTCAGCTCTCATCAACAGCCCTGTCATGTCTCTGCTCTCCAAACCCAAGAACACCACTCCTGCCATCTCCAAGCCTCTGGAAGGTCAGTAGCTCAATTTGGCTGGGTGCACTTGTTCACTTGCCCTGATTTGATTTAAAAGCATTGGATTGGTGTAGATAGATTGCTTACCATGTTTATTTCACCAGTCCAAAGCTTTTAAACCCTTGAGGGGGATTGAACGAGTTCACATTTCAGTGAGAAGGGGAAAAATCTTAATTCGGCAAGAAACTCTCTCTCTTCTCTGCCATGTCTCTCTTTCTCCGTCGTGAGAGGCCTTATTCATTTACTAGGCCCTAATCATGACATGGATGGTCTGAGTCACCTTGTTGTTTGGGGTTAAAGGTTGGGACTGGGTTATGTTGGGTAGACGAATGTGACTGGGTTGTGTCCTTAACTGTCATTAGACCACATGCTGACCCGATGTAAACACCATGAAATAAATCCCTGGAAGTCTTGTTTATTCCATCCGTGTTATTGAAAAGTCATTAGCACCCAACTCAACTTTCTCATCACTGCAAAACTTCTATATTTACCAAGGAACTTAGGACTAACCTACAGAACATAGTTATTTTTCTGATGTTGACAGTTGGTTATAATCAGAAGTCTTTGTTTTCATTTTATGAGAAATGGAGGAAATATTATTTTGCTGTTGTGCTGCTTTTGTTGTATGCGTTGTACATCTTCTAAACAGCACGTGTAATCACTATAGTGACAGTAATTATTGGTGTGACTGTGATCATTGTAATTCTATCTGGCAACCAATGTCTAATAGAATGTAAACCCTGGGGTAGTGTTTGGTTGTCCTCACTAACTGAAAATCATTTATGCATGAGAGCATTAAATGTCATCTTCATTGCAATCAACACACACTATTCGAGGTTGACTGGTGCATGTGATTGACATTTTCTATGGATGCATCTCTTCAAAATTAATTTAAATGCATGCTCTGGTCAAAAGTAGTGCACTATATAGGGAATAGGGTGCCATATAGGATGCTGACTAAGTGTAGATGTCTGTCTCTCCATTCAGAGAGTAACTCCTGTACTATTATGTTGCTTTGCAGAGATTGAGGCAAAACCGGACATGAACCTGGAGTCCGACAGGAAGTTGGATAAGCTGGAGTCTTTCCTGGGCAGGTTGAACAGTAAAGGTCAGTGTCTTGTTCTTGTATACTGTCTCTGTCAGTCCCAATGTGCTCCCCTCCCCCTTGACCCTAACCCTGTGATGTTTGCCGATCTGTAGTGTGGAAGCAATATGGTGGAAGCTCCACCTCTACACTGCTGATACCTGTTCAGACCCTTCAGATCTGCAAACATTAAAGAGTTAGGGCCAAGGGGGAGAGGAGCGAATTGGGACCGACTGTGTCTCTTTTGAGGCCTTAGATAACCCGTCTTCCATGTTGTCCCTGTCAGTGGGCGGCCTGCAGGAGTCTACCATCATGGTGACGGAGAAGACGGTCAAAGAGGTCATGAACTTGGATGATGAGATGTTCGATAAGTTCTACAGCCACGTGGCCGAGATTCCCCTGAACATGAACAGTATGGTGGACATCAACGATGACTTTGACGACATCTTCGGTGGTACACAGATGCCCAAGTAAGCGCACACGCTCACACACGCACTCACAGTGCAGAGGTCAGGGGTGAGTCAACAATGTAAAATCCCAGCACCTGCTTCCTGTTGACTGCTGACCGCTCACCTTTCCCCTCCCTAGGCTGATCTCAGCCATGGTGCAGCACAAGCGGTCCGTGCGTCCGGTGCGCAACGTCCAGTCGTCCAGGAACCCTCTGAAGATGCTGGCGGCCAGAGACGACATCAGACACGAGTACACTGAGCAGAGACTCAACATCGGCCTGCTGGAGAGCAAGCGGATGAAGGAAGAGAAGAGTGAGTTAACACCACAACCCTTAGCCTAGTTCATGCTGGTGGTTCTGGATTGAGAGCATGGTTAGAGAGGTTCAGCTGTCTATGAAGATGAGAAAAAGAAGCCTGGCATTTCAGTTGTAAATGCAGAGGTGGTTTGTGTACTTTGTAGTGCTATAGGAGGCTGTTCTACATAATGTGTGACTGACACTCAGATTATCACAACAGCACTATGGGAAAGTGTTCTCCTGTACGTCCCACGACAGCCAACTCTCCAGAGCACACTTTCAATGTTATATACAAAACTCCTCCCTAAACTACAGTAACTGAACTGACTCAAATCAGGCCTTGTAGTTATGTTCTATAAATAGGTTCAAAACAATGAATCCTGGGATAGCAGACGGCAAAGCTGTGAAAAGGACCTACATTTAAACGCATTGCTTGCGTTCCAAATGGCACCCTATTCCCTACGTAGTGCACTACTTTTGACCAGGGCCCATAGACATTTGGTACGCAGCTTTGCCTCCGTTTCCTGGTATTGTGCAAAGCAATCCTCAAAAGTTCACTGTTGTTTTTCTACCATTGTGAGTTGGGTAATGTGCAGCGGGCTGTATCAGGGATAAAAACTTAACTAAATCTACAAACTGAAAGGCGCGTTACCCACAACTTCCTCGTCTCTCTTAGGAGTGTAATAAAAACACTCAATGAGACCGGGGGCCCTGAAAGGTTCTGGGGTTTGTTCTAATAACATTAGGAACACTCTTGTATTTCAGGCTCGAGATTATCTTGTTGCCTTTAATCTCATTACATTTTAGTATGTATATAGTCTTCAACTGTATGGTATGTGTACAGTATCGATCTCTGTGTGTAATCTACAGCATGTTTGTAATGAGTCTACTGTGTATGGTGCATCTATAGATCTCCTCTGTGTTCCAGTGAATAAGAATGCTGGTTTCTCAGAGGTGGCTCTGTGTGTGTGTGTGTGTTATACACTGTGTACAAAACATTAGGAACACCTTCCTAATATTGAGTTGCACCCACTTTTGACCTCAGAACATCCTCAATTCGTCAGGGCATGGGCTCTACAAGGAGTCTGAAGCATTCCTCAGGGATGCTGGCCCATGTTGACTCCAATGCTTCCCACAGTTGGCTGTATGTCCTTTGGGTGGTGGACCATTCTTGATGCACAGGGGAAACTGTTGAGCGTGGTAAAACCCAGCAGCGTTGCAGTTGTTGACACTCAAACCGGTGCGCCTGGCACCTACTACCATACCCGTTCAAAGCCACTTCAATATTTTGTTTTGTCCGTTCACCCTCTGAATGGCACACATACATGTCTCAATTGTCTCAAGGCTTAGAAATCATTATTTAACCTGTCTCTTCCCCTTCATCTACACTGATTGAAGTGGATTTAACCGGTGACATCAATAAGGGATCATAGCTTTCACTTGGATTCACCTGGTCAGGCTTTGTCATGGAAAGAGCTGTTCATAATGTTTTATGCACTCAGTGTATGTCTACTGTGTATAACTCCTCTAACCTATGGGTCCATCTCTGTGTTCCAGTGAATAAGAACAGTGGATTCTCAGAGGTGGCTCTGGCTGGGCTGGCCAGTAAAGAGAATTTCAGCAGCGTTAACCTGCGGAGCGTCAACATCTCCGAACAGATGTCCAACAACAGCGCCGTGCCCTACAAGAAACTCATGCTCATGCAGGTCAAAGGTGAGACAGACAGATGACCTCTCGGCTCACTAAAGGTCAACTCTGGGATCAGTCATGATAAGAGATAAGATGCTTTGTCTTCACAAAGAAGGAAGGCAGTGTGTTCTTGCACCGTCCTGTCACATTGAGGATAAAAATATCTCATGCTGTGTCTCAAATGGCTCCCTATTCACAATGTAGTGCACTACTTTTGACTAGTGCACTATGTAGGAAATAGGGTGCCATTTGGGACGCAGAATCAGTCCTCGGCAAAGTCATTGGCCTAGATAAGACTGTCTTCCATGAATCGAGTGTGGCGCAGTGGTCTAAGGCACTGCATCGCAGTGCTAGCTGTGCCACTAGAGATCCTGGTTCGAATCCAGGCTCTGTCGTTGCCGGCCGCGACCGGGAGACCCATGGGGCGGCGCACAATTGGCCCAGGGTCGTCCAGGGTAGGGGAGGGAATGCCCGGCAGGGATGTAGCTCAGTTGGTAGAGCATGGCGTTTTCCACGCCAGGGTTGTGGGTTCGATTCCCACGGGGGGCCAGTATGAAAAATTATGTATGCACTAACTGTAAGTCGCTCTGGATAAGAGCGTCTGCTAAATGACTAAAAAATAACTAAAAACAATTAAAAAAATTGAGCATGCTTAGGCTAACCATCCAGGACAGTAAGCAGCAAAACGTTGTGGGCATCCCAAATGGCATCCTATTTCCTATATTGTGCACTACTTTTCACCAGAGCCCTATGGGCCCTGGTTAAAAGTAGTCCATTATGTAGGGAATTGGGTGCCATTTGGAATGCTTCCATTGTCTGACTGCTGCACGCTAATCGTCTAAATTAGCTCATTGTTTTGTTCTGGCAGTCTTTTAGTCTAGGGAAGGAAGAAACTGTTGTGTACGTTGTGCCTATTTGCTGCTTATTGCATAGGTGTCAGCCGTATCTGTCACAGCAGTAACCCATTTCCTAGAGCTGCCGAGGTCCACAGAGAAAAATAGCCTAATTGGCGTTTTTACACAAAGCCACGACGGATGCTCTTCCAGGGTGTCCTTTCCTTTCCAGGGGATATTTTTAAAATAGACAGTTTGTTGTGGTTATTTTGGTTCCTTTAGGCCTCCACACCACTTCCATGCAGCTCTGGTGCTTAATCATGTTACCCAGGTCACCTCTCTCTACCCTGGGCAAACCCCCCCCCACCCCCACCTCTAATCCAGCCCAAATCCAATAAACAATTTTGGACGTGGTCTTCATGCATAAAGTGATTTTATTCTTAACTGCCATTCAAGATCAAAACAACCACTAATATACCATATCTATCCGTGTCCATCTGTTATATTAACCAGGCCGACGGCACGTCCAGACCAGACTAGTGGAGCCCAGAGCATCCTCTCTGAACAGCGGGGATTGCTTTCTGCTCATCACTCCTCATCACTGCTTTGTCTGGACCGGAGAGTTCGCCAACGTTATCGAGAAGGCCAAGGTAAGTCTGGTGATTTTGTTGCTGTGTTCAGCAGCTATACATACCTATCACAAACGCATCAAATACACTCACATTGTCATAGGTTACATGTAATTGTAAGCAGTACTGTCCACACAGTGTTAGTGTTGTGTAGGTAAGCTCAAATGAACGCGTGTAACCCTGTCTGTCAGTGGGGTTTAAAGGTCTTATTATTAGGTGTGTGCTGCTTCACGTCACGTAAAGGAAGTAAACCTGGCTTTAGGAGGAAGTAGCGTTGGCGTAGCAACACAGGAAGTGGTCTATGTGTGAGGGGAGAACATCTATTGTAACAGGAAGCCTCTAACTGACACATAAACACAGACCTAGAGCTATTGTGTCAAACAGACCCTGGCCAGCCAGGAAGAACACTGACCTCATTCTGAAATTCTATTAAAAATAAATAATTCAGACTCTTCACCCATCTCTTAATAGCTCAGGAATTCTTGAATTTATATTTTTTTAAATAATGATTTTGTTGCATTATTTGAGGTTAAAAATTACATTTAGGGGAAAATATTTGTTTTGGGAATTTTCTAAATATTATTAATTTCCATGTCGGCTCTATGCCTGGAAATACTCTCCCCCCAAAACCATAAATAAAAAGGCAATATTGGGATATTAACTGAAAAGTTACCTTCTGTAGTTTCTTGCACTATCCCTCTGTGACTATAAATAATATTTCTCCCAAAACTGTGGTTCCTAAAAGATGTGTCTGGTGATTTGTTGAACTCTGCCAGATTTGTCTAAAATCCTAAATTGATCAGGAATGAGCAGAATCAGCTATACCATAAGGACCCCTTCTTCATGTCCTCATTACATGTAGTGCAACAAGACCACTCATGGTCTGTAAAGTTCTCTACTTTTGATAGATTTAAACAAACAATATTGTAATCACCATGGTCACAACCATAAACTGTGAACAACCATAAACTGTGAACTAGGTTTTAGAGTCATAAATCAGCTGAGGAAAAACAAAATTGCTACTGTATATACCACTTGAATGAAGAAGAAAAATGTTATTTTTGTCAACTCTGTAAAACATAAACTCCGTCAGATTTTTGTCCAACGTTCACTCCGTCAGAGTGCTGAAGTGCTTTCGGAAAGTATTCAGACCCCTTGACTTCTTCCACATTTTGTTACGTTACGGCCTTATTCTAAAATTGATTAAATTGTTATTTTCCCCTCATCAATCTACAAATAAAGCAAAAACACAAAGCAAAAACAGGTTTTTAGACTTTTTTGCAAATGTATTACAAATAAAAAACAGATTCCATTTACATAAGTATTCAGACCCTTTAAACAGTACTTTGTTCAAGCACCTTTGGCAGCGATTACAGACTCGAGTCTTCTTGGGTATGACGAAACAAGCTTGGCACACCTGTATTTGGGGAGTTTCTCCCATTATTCTATGCAGATCCTTCTCAAGCGCTGTCAGGTTGGATGCGGAGCGTCACTGCACAGCTATTTTCAGGTCTATCCAGAGATGTTCGATCGGGTTCAGGTCCAGGCTCTGGCTGGGCCGCTCAAGGACATTCAGAGACTTCTCCCAAAGCCATTCCTGCGTTGTCTTGGCTGTGTGCTTAGGGTCGTTGTCCTGTTGGAAGGTGAACCTTTGCCCCAGTCCGAGGTCCAGAGCGCTCTGGAACAGGTTTTCATCAAGGATCGCTCTGTACTTTGCTCCGTTCATCTTTGCCTCGATCCTGACTAGTCTCCCAGTCCCTGCCACTGAAAAACATCCCCACAGCATGATGCTGCCACCACCATGCTTCACCGTAGTGATGGTGCCAGGTTTCCTCCAGATGTGACGCTTGGCATTCAGGCCAAAGTGTTCAATCTTGGTTTCATCAGACCAGATAATCTTTCTCATGGTCTGAGAGTCTTTTAGGTGCCTTTTGGCCAACTCCAAGCGTGCTGTCGTGCCTTTTACTGAGGAATGGCTTCCGTTTGGCCACTCTACCATAAAGGCCTGATTGGTGGAGTGCTGTGGAGATGGTTGTCCTTCTGGAAGTTTCTCCCATCTCCACAGAGGAACTCTGGAGCTCTGTCAGAGTAACCATCAGGTTCTTGGTCACCTCCCTGACCAAGGTCCTTCTCCCCTGATTGCTCAGTTTGGCCGGGCGGCCAGCTCTAGGAAGAGTCTTGGTGGTTCCAAACTTAATCAAGTTGTAGAAACATCTCAAGGATGATCAATGGAAACAGGATGTACCTGAGCTCAATTTCGAGTCTCATACCAAAGGGTCTGAATATTTATGTAAATAAGGTATTTCTGTTTTATATTTTTAATACATTTGCAAAAAAATCTAAACCTGTTTTTGATTTGTCATTATGGGGTATTGTGTGCAGATTGATGAGGGAGGGACGGGGGGGGGACTATTTAATCAATTTTAGAATAAGGCTGTAACGTAACTGTGGAAAAAGTGAAGGGGTCTGAATATTATATATCCGAATGAACTGTATTTGCAGAAATCCATTCAGGTGTATTTTTTGGCTTTTGGTAGAATGTTGCGCTGTTGCAACTGCCAGTACAGTTCAAAGTGAATGATGGCAGGCCTGTGTGGCAAATGGCTTGTTAGTATAAAAGTCTACTGTAGCTCTGATTGGCTATAGCCCAACGGTCTGTATTTGGTTTTATTTACTGCAGTGTCTATTAATTGTCCAAACGCACGGCCGCTTTCCTACTCTATATTGCTATAGAATTTTCACAATTGCCTTAGTATACGTAATTTACAAACATTCTAAGAATTTATGAAAACATGAAAATGACCATATCAAGTGTCATATTCTTTCTGGGGGTGTATATGAACAGCTTCTAATAAGATTTCATGCTGCTAAAATGTCAGTTCCAATTTAAATGCAACAATGTTTCACACACAAGTTAATTGAAAAGAGATGGCTAACAGCAAGCGCGCTGCAATGAAAAACACAGTTTCACTCACTAGATGATCATTTGAAACGTAACTTCTTGTTGAAAGTTATTCTTGAAAAGCTAGCAAATTAGCAACAACATCCTCTTTGATAACACATGCTGCAGCCGCTGCAAACTAGCCGATAACAAAAGCCAGCTAGCTAGACCGTGGGAAATCTACTGCTTGCTATTGCGCTGTGACCGGTTGGCCTTCAAGAAGGCAGAAGTTTCCATACGTTTTTGTAAAAAAGGTCCCACTCATTAAGTCAAAATGTGATTTGTTGATTCCACTGTCACTACAACATTTTGCCCTAATACAGTTGAATGGCAGATGCCTTTATCTAGCTTCTGATGACCTAGCCAATGGCTGACTTAGCTAGCTAGATTTATCTCCCCAGAGACAGCAAAGAAAAATCCTGATTGGATCTTTTTTTCTCTTCAGTGTTAACCCATTCCTTTCCAACAAAAACTAAAGAGATTAAATCAGAACGTAATTGAAAATAATATCATAATCATTATTTTATAAATCCTTAGCACTTCTCTGAAGGTGTAGAATGCCCATTGTTCCCCACTGTGTTTGGGTTAGTAATAATTTGTAGAGTGGCTCTATTTTCCCTCAGCATGCATCTTTTTCACTATTCTGAATGTCTAAAGAATCCACATGTTCTGAAAAATGAAAACAAAAATATTGGATATTTTGAACTCTTATGGTGGTGGTGATTTGACAAAATTACAATCATGGTCTTGAATTGGACTCGCATTTTTCTGGTCTTGACTCTTGTCCCCCTCCCGGTCTTGACTCGGACTCGATTTGCTCCGTTCTTGGTCTTGAATCGGTCTCGCTTTAGGTGGTTTTGAGCAGGACACTGGTTAACAGATCTATAAAACAAAAATACGTTTGGAGATTTGTATTACATATTTGAATAATTTGTTAGAATTAAACAATAAAGCCATTAAACACTTGATGAACAATTTAAAAAATGAAATGCCTTTTATGGTGTCTGACAGAGTTGACAAATCCAGTTAGCTGCATTTTATGGAGAAAAAAAAAGTAAAGAATTACGAGGTTGTTCTTTTACATAGTGTTATAGCTGATACTTTGGTCTATCAAAATACATATTTCAAATGTTAATATTAAGACAAATATTTGGAAATAAATAGATTGTCCCTTTCAAGAACCCCTGACCTATTAATTTTGTAGAACGATTAATTACTTATGATTGCACTTGATTTGGGCCTAGAATTAACATATGCTTATTTTCTGTCTTTCATTCTCAGGCTGCTGAGTTGGCCCAGTTCATTCAGACAAAGAGAGATCTGGGTTGCCGTGCCAACTACGTAGAGCTGATCGAGGAGGGGATCAACACACACAGCTACGCTGCCAAGGAGTTTTGGAAGATTTTGGGCGGACAGGCCAGCTACCAGTGTAAGGCTAAGTAGTTAATAGGTTATAACTTTGTAATTACCATTTTACCTACCAGTACCAGCTACCAGTGGAAGGCAAACTGTCTTAGTTTGGCAAACATATTTCAATCAGTCATGTTTTGGGGTCATCTCTCTTGGCTTGATACATTCATGGCTATGTAGGTAACAGTTATGGGTTATTTGAATGTGTTATGTTTTGAATGATTTATGAAATGTGTTATGGTTTCCTTCAACTGAAATGTTACCCAGAAATGATTCCCAGTTATTCCTTGTATGCATTATCAGTTTTTTTTAACACTTCGTGTTTCCTTCCTGTAGCCGCGGGGACACCAGACGAGGATGAGCTGTATGAGAGCGCCATCGTAGAAACCAACTGCATCTACCGCCTAGTGGATGACAAACTGGTCCCCGATGACGACTTCTGGGGGAAGGTTCCCCGATGCACCATGCTCAGCCCCAAACAGGTTAGACATCACTAATACTGACATTGTTTGGTGTGAGGATTTAGATTTTCATTCTGACTGGATTCCAATCAAGTTAAAACGGAAATGGAAAGATAAACCTGGTTGATCAGACTGCTGTATCTCCTAAATCAAGATTTAGACACTGACAGGTACATTCTACTGGTGCTGACTGCCCCCTCTCTGTGATCCCTGGCCTGCAGGTGTTGGTGTTTGACTTTGGCAGTGAGGTGTACGTCTGGCACGGTAAGGAGGTGACTCTGGTCCAAAGGAAAGTAGCCTTCCAGCTAGCTAAACACCTGTGGAACGGAACCTTCGACTACACCTGCTGTGACGTCAACCCCCTGGACCCAGGAGAGTGCAACTCACGCATACCCAGGTACTGGGTGGCTCACACAGTCTGTCTCAATCTCTCTCACACACAACAAAGTAAGCCAAACCATACCGTGAGCTCGCCTTCTCTTTTAGCACCGTCCCATTCATCCAATTCACATACACAGTGTTGACAATAAATCTTGAAATGTAGGTTGCACGTACTAGAACGTAACACATGTATCATGTATGGTTGATTGTGCGATTCCACGTCCCTGTGAGGGTTATGATTTTATTTGAGTTGCAAGGTAACTTCAAAGCATCCGTATTAAAACCACTCAGGTTAGCACAGGTTGTCCATTTCCATAACACCATGTACCTCCCTACTATGGAGAGCCAAGTATTCCACTACAGTATGTGTAAACAACTCTAAGGCCAGGCTCAGCAGAACACAAGCTATACATGGGCAGGAGTGTCATCGCTCCACTCTGCACTAAACAACCTGTCTGCCTCTATGCCCATGGACAGTTGGTAGGCTTCTTTAATAACACACTTGCCAGGTGGTCATTGCAAATAATAATTTATTCTAAACTGACCTGCCTTGAAAAATAAAGGTTTGATCAAATAAAGGCGGCTCCAAACAGCCTCTGTCCTCTCCACTTCTCCCTTTCCAACTCTCTTACCTCTCTACCTCTCCTCTCTCTCCCTCTGTGGGGTGCAGGAAAGGCCAGGGCCGTCCAGACTGGGCTGTATTTGGGAGGTTGACGCAACACAATGAGACAACCCTGTTCAAGGAGAAATTCCTGGACTGGACAGACTCCAAGAAGAAAGGCACAACCAAGAACGTCCACGAGCACCTCAACGAACACAACAAGGTACAGCTCCAAATAGTTTTTAATAGTTTTGTTCCTATTCAGTGTTTATCCTGTAGCTTCTCAAGAATTCCTTATAAGACTGGCCAAATTATACACTATTAGACAACAGGGAACAAAACCTCCCTCTGTTCCAACAACCCATTCCCCATCTCGTCCTCTACTCCCTCACCAACACTGCACGCATCTCAACCTCCCGGTCTCTTCCTTGACCCATTTTGTGGCTTTCCCCTCCCTCCCAGGAGCAGCAGAGCTCGGAACAGAATACGACGCGGTCCTACGACGCGTCCCTGATGCTGCCGTTACTCCAGACCCCGGTGCGCACGGTGTTGGATGGGGTGGACGTAGGCCGGGGCTACGGCCCTGTGGCGGGGGACGACCACAGGCACTTTGAGATCAGTACCACCGCTGTGGACGTATGGCACATCCTGGAGTTTGATTACAGGTGGGTGTGCGTGGCTGTGTAGCAAATGGCACCCTATTCCCTACATAGTGCACTACTTTTGACCAGGGCCTAAAGGGGCTGTATAAGGAATACGGTGCCATTTGGGATTCATACTACGTGTGTGTCATGGTGGGGTTGTAATAAAGGAAAAATACACATTTCAGTGTCTGTGACAATAAAGTATATCGTCTATCCTACAGCCGGCTGCCCAAGCAGAGCATCGGACAGTTCCATGAGGGAGACACTTACGTAGTGAAATGGAAGTACATGGTGAGCACCGCAGGTTAGTTTCGATCCACCGTTGCCGACTTCTCAACGACATCACAGAGCACGCTCTCTCTCTGTCTCTCTCGCTCTCTTTTGCTACTATCACTTTCTATCTTGCTTATTCCCTCTCTGACACACCTAAAGCAGTGCAGGTGTTTAAAGTAGGGATTTTACGTTATTTAACAGAGTTATGTCCTCGATTTAAACACCCTTCTTCTCCATGTAAAGACCATATAAAGAGAGAGCCCCGTCACCCTTCTTCCCCTCTCCCTCCTCTCCCCCCCTTTCTACCTCCCTATGTTAGGGTAATAATTAACCATTACCTAAACTCATAGACACTGACTGCTGTTCCAAAGCCTCGCTCGCTGTAGGAATCTGTGTTCTTTCAGACTTCAAACAAACAATCATTCATATCACTACTAGTGGGAGAGAAGGGGAGAGGGGCGCTGGCAAGTGGCTGGGATGAGTTCTAGGGGTTAGCATCAGTGCGGCTAGTTTTGTTCTGCACAGAGAGTCAATGGATGGGCTGCAGAAGAGGATAGCTGATTACAGCAATATAGGGTATCATCTTTCCTTACATGGTAAACATTTAAAACATTTCAATCATTTAGTAGACGCTCTTATCCAGAGCGACTTACAGTTAGTGAGTGCATACATTTTTCATACTGTCCCCCCGTGGGAATCGAACCCACAACCCTGGCGTTACAAGCGCCATGCTCTACCAACTGAGCTACAGGAGGCCTACGTACACCGATACAGGCAGACAGACAGGATGTACTGCAAAACGCCCTGCTTTGTTTTGACTTTTTTCATTTGTTGGTTTGACAGATATCTGTTTATAGGTCTCCCTAGTGTGTATTCATGATATGAAAAGTTGCTCCTTGGAGTTTGTGAATCCGTGTGTCTGTCTGTTGACCCTAGTTGGGAAGAGACATAATCCGGACGCGGTGAGGAGTGCAGGAGCTGGGAAGGAGAAGTGTTCCTATTTCTTCTGGCAGGGGCGGAATTCTACCGTCAACGAGAAGGGAACATCCGCCCTGATGACTGTAGAACTGGACGAGGAGAGAGGAGCACAGGTACTGTGCGTCTGTGTGTGCGTCTGTGTCCGTGTGTCCGTGTAACCACTCTCTCCTCTGCTCCTACAGGTCCAGGTGCAGCAGGGGAAGGAGCCTCCATGTTTCCTGCAGTGCTTTAATGGAGGGATGGTGATCCATGCAGGGAAGAGAGAAGAGGAGGAGGAGAACTCTCAGAGTACAGTCCATACCTATTACCTACAGATCTGCTGTCTTCATTTGATTACTCTGTTGTCACAGAATTTTCCTGCGCAGCTGGAAATGCTAATTGGAGTGTATTCAATTGGTTTAAAAAGGCTTCTAAAGTTTGTAATTTCCACTTAAAAATCTCTAACTTGATTTGCCCTAACGAAATGTCAACCCCTACAAAAATGTCCATTCAATATAATCCACATAATTAACATTTTCTGTTATTGCCCTGCTGTGAGAAGCACGGTCAAATTAAGATGGTACATCTTTACCATCCACTTTCTCACCTTCCCTACCTTCTCATCAATACTATCCTCCTTTCTCCTGCCATCATCTAACTGTCTTCTTTCTCTTTCTGTCTCTCTGTGTGTGTGTGTGTGTGAGCGATGACATGTTTGAAAGAGTATGTAGGGTGTGGAACACCAATGGAACACATGAAAAACATGTTTTTCTCCAAATGCATGATTTATGTCCCATTTGTTTCCTGCTGTTATCTGTCTGACCTCTAACCCCTCTCGCCCCATCAGATGACTGGCGGTTGTACTGTGTGCGTGGTGAGGTCCCTGTGGAGGGCCACCTGCTGGAGGTAGCGTGTCACTGCAGCAGCCTGCGCTCCCGGACCTCTATGGTACTGCTCAGCGTCTCCAAGGCAACCATGTACTTGTGGCACGGCTGCAAGGCTCAGCACCATACCCGCGACGTGGGGAGCACCACCGCCAACAAGATCAAAGAGCAGTGAGCGACGACACATCCGTAACTAGATGCATATCTAGATGCAGCCGGCATAAGAAGACATGTTTATGTCCTAGACATTTTGCTGTCCAGTTGATTTTAGGGTTATGGGTCAAGGCATCCCATGCCACTGTGAGATGTTAAAGGTCTCAATATAAGGGCAGATATTATTGATCAGGAATGTTTGAAGTGTATAGAAATTGTATTATCTCTGATCAATTTGAGTAAGTTTAAGGCAAGCTCGTTACTTTAACAATGTTCTGTATGAGTCAGTGTTCATAATGGTGTCATAAGTGTTCATAACAGTATGATAGCAGTGTTCCATGTGCCTGTGTGTGTGCAGGTGTCCGTTGGAGGCGGGGCTCCACAGCAGCAGTAAGGTGACCATCCATGAGTGTGACGAGGGGGCGGAGCCTACGGGATTCTGGGAGGCTCTGGGGAGGAGAGATAGGAAGGCCTACGACTGCATGGTACAAGGTTAGTGGGACTTGCGCGCGCACACAGGAAAGACTATGACTTAATTCTGAGTTGTACAGATGGATTTATGAGTAAATTTGTCTTTGATGTTGAATTCCAATGGAGTAATTGTAGTGTAACCGTTTGATAGTAGACTGTAATACTTTGATTGTTCTGTATTCTCTCATAGAAATAGAATTACTAGATTGGTGTAGTGTTGTGATTTGATTACCTTTGACCCCCAGATCCAGGGAAGTTCAACTTCACCCCTCGTCTCTACCAGCTGAGCAGCACGTCTGGAGAGTTTGTTGCCGTGGAGTTCTTCTACCCAGCCAGAGTAACAGAGGCGGTCAACTCACTGCCCTTTCTACAGGAGGACCTCTACAGTGCCTCACAACCAGGTACTGTACGGTGTAAAACATCTTGCAACATGACTAGAGACTGCACTACTACAATCCACATAGATTTGAACTCTCAGTCCGTATGTGTATATCATGGCATCACTTCCTGTTCCTGTAGCCCTGTTTTGACATCACTTCCTCTTCATGAAGGCCTGTTCCTGGTAGACAACCACCACGAGGTGTACCTGTGGCAGGGCTGGTGGCCCCAGGATGGCGAGAGCCCCGGCTCTGCTCGTATCCGCTGGGACGCCGACAGGAAGTGTGCCATGGAGACGGTGCTGCAGTACTGCACAGGTATAGGGCACTACAGCTGTCAGGTGGTAGTTAGATACACTGCTTTATGGACATGTTTTTTTCAAACATAATGGAAAAAGTTGGACAAAATGCCAAAAGAAAGCCAAATAAGCCCTTATAAGATAGTGTTACTGTTGGCTTAGAGGTTCTAGGTATATCCTCTAAAGGGGGGAAATGTGGAATTGTTTGTCTGATACTAACCATTACATTGTTTGCTCCTTCTCCCCCCCACAGAGAAGAATGAAAAGAAGCCTCCCAAGTCATATCTGATCCATGCGGGACTTGAACCTCTAACCTTCACTAACATGTTCCCCTGCTGGGAACACAGAGAGGACATCGCTGAGATCACTGAAAGGGTAGGTCACCTATCCCATACCTATTACTCCCACCTTAAATAATCCTCAATGGCCATTAGAACTAGATTCTACATTGACGCCAACTCCTCCTGTTGACTGTTTATTCCAGACAGATTGTCCCCTGGTCTGCCCTAGGTTTCGAACCGGCAACCCTCGGGATACTGGCCTGCCGAGAGGCTACTGCCATCCCCAATGGGATAGATTTGGGAAGTGTGTGTACTGACCATGTCGTTCTATTCATATCCCTGTGTCCCCCAGGAGGCGGAGGTGTGTCACCAAATCATCCTGGTAGAGGACGTGTTGGCACGGCTGTGTAAGACCACTTACCCCCTGGCAGACCTGCTTGCACGGCCCCTACCCGAGGGAGTGGACCCCCTACGCCTGGAGATCTACCTAGACAATGATGACTTTGAGGTGAGGTCACACCCACACCTTCGGTACCATCAGCTCTCTGGAGAATTATGATGACTTTCTCTCTAGGTTTGCCTTGGCTCCACAATATTATATGTCCATAGTCTGTGGTTCTGTGCTGTTTGCGGACAATAATGAGCCTCTCCAGTGTGTGTGTGGGTGGGTGACAAGGGATCACAATGGAACATTGTACATTGGTAGTCAACGGAAACTAATCTAAAACAGACCTTCGCTCTAAAAAAGTATCCTTCAGTCTTTAACTTTTTGTCTGTGTTTATATTTACATTTACATTTAAGTCATTTAGCAGACGCTCTTATCCAGAGCGACTTACAGTTAGTGAATACATATATATATATATATATATATATATATATATATTTCTTTTTATACTGGCCCCCCGTGGGAATCGAACCCACAACCCTGGCGTTGCATATAAATGTACCCTCCATCCATTCATCCCCCTCTGTCCTCTTTCTCTCTGTGATTCATGTGTTTAACTCTTCACTTCACCTTCCAGGGTGTAGGGGCTTATGGGAAGGTGAGTTCTTTCAATTGAGAGCACAGCTGCCCCAGACACGTACACAGCATCCTCACTTTGATGAACTAGATCACCCATAATCCTGTGTGTGTTGCTTTCTGTCTCACCTCCCTCCTCACTGTGTGGTTCAACACTATCTCACTCTGAACCTCTCTTGCATGGTTTGGTCGGTTTCCACTCGCAAAATAATAGCTGTGTGGATTTTCAATACAGTATGCTACTGGAGTGATGAACTGGACCACTGACCGTGTTGTGACCTATGAATGATGGATTTGTTTTTGCAGCTCACACATTGAAGTGATCACACACAGGAGTTGTTATAGCGGTTGGTAGATTTGGTGTTTATTGTGTGCTAACAATGTTCGCAGAAAGGGCTGGAGATGTCAAGGGATGAGTACGAGGTGTTGCCAGGCTGGAAGCAGGTGAACGTGAAGAAAGCCAAAGGATTGTTTTAGTACGTTGGACAGAACGCTTGACCACCGGAAGACATCATCAGTCAGCGACGGTCGGTCACTGAGGTGCATCGTGGTCCGATTGGAACGAGGACCCGCCACTGAGAACTCTTTAGTTTGACCAAGAACGCCTTCGCTTCTGGACAGGAGAGGGCTCGGAAACAGGCTCTTCCGAGTACCCCTCCCCACGATGGAGGGATATAGGGAGGAAGGAGGAGAGATGCAGTGGTGGAGGGAGTGAAGGATCAGCGGAGGTGTGCAAGCCTCTTGTAGTGTTTTCTTCTTTACTTTTTATTTCTGGTTCCCATTTTTGGTTTGTTATTGTAATTATAAATGGAGATAGTTCAGAGGTGTGAGTGAATTAACTCTTGAGCGGATGATTATGTAATGTGTCAGCACCCGGCTTCTTAAATCCACACAGTATGTGTGGTTGTGTGTGTGTGTGTGACCAGTATCAACCATACAGGGTCTGTCAGTTCTTCTGGAAGCAGGAAAACCACTCTGTTCGACACTCCAACCAGACTCTTTCCTGTAAGCTGTTCTTTTGTGTGTTTGTCTTTCCAAAAATAATTTATATTTATATTGACATATATAATAGGAATAAAAAGCCTTTTGAGTATTCAGTTGGTGAGCTAAGACATTTAATAAATGGTATTGCTATTCATGTTGAGGTTGTCATATGTTAAGTATAGTGCTCCTTTCCCCAGAGACTGTACATGTCGCCATTTTATTGAAGAAATCCTGTATCTAGTGCATTCTGATGTATCTGTTATTATTGCTATGATGATGTCCTGCATCGGTCAGGTGCTCAGATTGAAGAGAAGTGTTATATTTTACGGGCATGAATTTACAGAAATAAAAAGAGGGAAAGGAGAAGGATCTTTCTATATTAATTCAACATTGTATAGTGCCTTGCTTTTATGTACAGTTTATATACAGGGAGATAGTAGTCTGTGTTTTAAGGACTCTCTTTGTGATATAAAGTATATTAGCGAAATAAACACTTAAAGTAAATCTGAGGAAGTTGTTTCGCCTCTTTATCAACTGAAATGGGACATTTTGTCAAAATGGATGTCCCAAAATAGCAACCTATTTCCTTTTATAATGCACTGATTTTGAATAGAACCCTATGGGCCCTGGTCAAATGTAGTGCACTAAATAGGGTACCATTTGGGGGACACACATTGTGCTTCCATACAATGCCTAAACCCTGAAAATAACATGCAGCAAACTGGTAAGTCTGGTATGTTGTTGTCTCAGATAAAAAACAAGTGCATGTTTATGCATGTGTATATACAGTACATATGTGATATGTATACTGAACAAAAATATAAACGCAACATGTAAAGTGTTGGTCCCGTGTTTCATGAGCTGAAATAAAAGTTCCCAGAAATTTTACATTGCACAAAAAGCTTATTTCTCTCAAATTTAGTGCACAAATTTGTTTATATCCCTGTTAGTGAGCATTTCTCCTTTGCCAAGATAATCCATCCACCTGACAGGTGTGGCATATCAATAAGCTGATTAAACAGCATGATCATTACACAGGTGCACTTGTGCTGGGACAATAAAAGGCCACTCAACAATTTTGTCACACAACACAATGCCACAGATGCTCAAGTTTTAAGGGAGTGTGCAATTGACATGCTGACTGCAGGAATGTCCACCAGAGCTGTTGCCAGAGAATTGAATGTTCATTTATCTACCAGTAGCTGCCTCCAACGTTGTTTTAGAGAATTTGGCAGTACATCCAATTGGCGTTACAACCGCAGACCGCGTGTAACCACGCCAGCCCAGGACCTCCACAAATGGCTTCTTCACCTGCGGGATCGTCTGAGGCCAGCCACCCGGACAGCTGATGAAACTGAAACTGGAGTATTTCTGTCTGTAATAAAGCCCTTTTGTAGAGGAAAACTAATTCTGATTGGCTGGGTCAGGCTCCCCTGTGGGTGGGCCTGGCTCCCCATTGGAAGGGGCAATGCCCTCCCTCACCAACCCATGACTGCGCCCCTGCCCAGTCATGTGAAATCCATAGATTAGGGCCTAATTTATGTATTTCAATTAAATGATTTCCTTATGAACTGTAACTCAGTAAAATCGTTGATTTGTTGCATATTGCGTTTATTTTTGTTCAGTATATGTTGATATGCATGTTGATTTAAGAGTATGATGCACATTTCCTCCATCAGAGGGCGTTGAAAGACTGATAAGGTCTGTTATTGTCCCCTCTACAGTGGAGAGGGTGTTCCTGAAACCCCCAGATGGATCTGTGGGTTGCTGTTGAGTCATGTCAGGGTGTTGCATGAGTCAAGGCAGGTTGCTGAAAATTTTACGCTTTTTGGTGTGATCAGATTGCTCGCCCACATAACTAATGCTGTCACTGAGTAAAGTGCAGTCTGAGTAGTACACCCACAATTTCTAGTCGGAAGTTGAGGTTCTGTATTAAATATTATTATTCCAGACTACATACACTACATTAACAAAAGTATGTGGACACCTGCTCGTCGAACATCTCATTCCAAAATCATGGGCATTAATATGGAGTGTCCCCCTTTTGCTGCTGTAACAGCCCACTTTTCTGGGAAGGCTTTCCACTAAATCTTGGAACATTGCTGCGGGGACTTGCTTCCATTCAGCTACAAGAGCGTTAGTGAGGTCGGGCACTGATGTTGGGCGGTTAGGCCTGACTCAGTCAGCGTTCCAATTCATCCCGAAGGTGTTCGATGGGGTTGAGGTCAGGGCTCTGTTCAGGCCAGTCAAGTTCTTCCACACCGATCTCGACAAACTATTTCCGTATGGACCTCTCTTTGTGCACAGGGACATTGTCATGCTGAAACAGGAAAGGGCCTTCCCCAAACTGTTGCCACGTAGTTGGAAGCACAGAATTGTCTAGAATGTCATTGTATGCTGTAGCGTTAATATTTCCCTTCACTGGAACTAAGAGGCCTAGGCCGTACCATGAAAAACAGCCCCAGACCATTATTCCTCCTCCACCAAACTTTACAGTTGGCACTATGCATTGGGGCAGGTAGCGTTCTCCTGGCATCCGCCAAACCCAGATTTGCCCGTCGGACTGCTAGATTCATCACTCCAGAGAACGCGTTTCCACTGCTCCAGAGTCCAATGGCGGCGAGTTTTACACCACTCCAGCCGATGCTTGGCATTGCGCATGGTGATCTTAGGCTTGTGTGCGGCTGCTTGGCCATGGAAACCCATTTCATGAAGCTCCCGACGAACAGTTCTTGTGCTGACGTTGCTTCCAGAGGCAGTTTGGAACTCGGTAGTGAGTGTTGCAACCGAGGACAGACGATTTTTACGCCCTAAGCCACTTCGCGGCTGAGCCGTTCTTGCTCCTAGACATTTCTACTTCACAATAACAGCACTTACAGTTGACCGGGGCAGCTCTAGCAGGGCAGAAATGTAGAGAACTAACTTTTTGGAAAGGTGAAATCCTGACTTGTTGGAAAGGCCATTCTACTGCCAATGTTTGTCTATGGAGATTACATGGCTGTGTGCTCAATTTTATACACCGGGTGTGGCTGAAATAGCCGAATCCACTATTCTGAAGGGGTGTCCACATACTTTTTTATATATAGTGTACATCATGATTGTCTCATCACTCAAGCTCACAGTGCCATGCAAGCATACAGACCAGACTAGACCGTGCTTCTGAATGTCATCACATGGCCTTGTTGTCAAGCTCTGCTTATGCAGACACACACAGTTTGGGACCCACTAGCATGTGAGGGCCCAATATGCCAAGGGAGTTTTATGTATCCTTTTAATGGCTTTTAAAGGTCAGATACCCGTGCGGCTGCCACTCCCTATCACTTGAAATGCTCTACCGGTAATGTGTCCATGTTTTTAAAGCTAACAGTTATGCAAACACTACCTCTGTGTTTAGTGAGGTCAGTGGTGCTGAATGTTAATACGGTGACAGTTTGTAAAATGGAAGATGTAATAATACGCTTGTTTCTATTTTGGATGTCAAGATCTGACCTGTCATGTCATATTCTCGACCCTGTGCATGTGTGCGCTTGTGCGAGTCTGATGGAAGAGAAATGGGAGCCAATTAGATTAAGTTTGGTGCGTTCACAGAAGAACAACATAGGTAGCAGGTAGCTTAGTGGGTGAGAGCGTTGTGCCAGTAACCGAAAGGTCGCTGGTTCTAATCCCCGAGCCGACTAGGTGAAAAATCTGTCTGTGCCCTTAAGCAAGGCACTTAACCCTAATTGCTCATGTAAGTCGCTCTGTATAAGAGTGTCTGCTAAAAATGACTAAAATGTAAAAAAAATACACCACAGCCTGTTAGTGTAGCTGGCTCTGTTTCTGCTCATTGTGGATCCAACACTGTTCTGTTGTGTTCACTGGGAGGGCAGGAAGTCCTTCAGTTCATCTCCATCTGACAGGCAGCACACTTTGAAACGTCCCCAAACGAAATGAAACCGATGTCTCCTCCTCCCTGCATGCAGGATGGCACAGTTCCCTGTCTCTTCAAACATGCAGGCACGCACACACACACACACACACACAGTCTGAATACAGCAGTGTTAGCGCCACTGTGTGTGTCTCTACTAGCCTGCCACATTGTAAGATGAATTGTAGCAGCTCCGAACCTCCAGCCTGTTTGTGAAGTCTACTGAGCTCGTCCCAGTCTACCCTCTAAGGGCTATGATACGCAACATGCCATACCTCCCACTCTACCACCCACTCACTAAGATTCTCTCTATCCCCTCTCTCTCTTCCTCTTCACCTCTCTTACCTCTTTTCCTCTTCACCTCTCTCTTTCCCCCTTCACCCCTCTCTCCCCCTCCCAACTCTCCTCCCTCCATCTCTTCTCTGTTTAACCTGTGTACCATCCATAATAGATACTACCATGCCGAAAGAGAGAGACACAAAATAACTGCAGGTAGTCCCAGGTGCGGGTAGCATCGTTGCCCTTCCAATCCGTCTTAGTGCAGGTCTCTTATGTGTGAGTGACTCTTTGTATCATAGCCAGGAATCTGTCTTGGTATCAAGGTTCACATCATGTCAACCTGCTAGGTTAAGAGCCTGTCTCAGGGTACGGGCATTGGAGTGAATTATACATCAGACCAGTAGAACATTAGCATGGAACAAAATCGAGCAACTGCCTGCAATGCACGTTATCGTTTCCTCAAGTTGATCAAATATACATGATTCCACACTTTGCATCCTCTATTAAAATTCCACCACTTTTTAACGTTCTATTTATTATCTCCATCACCATACCAGTGTCTACATACAGGGCTGTATGTGAAAAGGGAATGTTTCTACATTCCCTAGTCAAATGGATAAGGAGGGAAAGGTCCTAAAAACGGGTCACACTTTGTTTGGACAGTCCGGATAGATACTGCTTGCTAACGTTACGGTTAGGGTTAAAATAAGGGTTAGGGTAAGGGTTAGTAGATAGTTGAAATGTTACTCATAGTCTGTAGCTCTACAGACTATCCAAATAAAGTGTTACCAAAGAAAGTGCCATATGCCCTTTCATGTCCGTCCATGTTCTCCCTGTGAGTGCTATTGTAACTCTGATGGCATAGCCAGTCGAGGACTAATACAGTATACTGTATATGTGGAATTGACACTGTATACTCTGTAAAGTGATTGTATATACTGTAGGCTAAGCTACAAAGTATGTATGTCTCTATCTCAAAGTATGTCTCTATCAGACTGTGCATACATGGGATGTGTCCCAAATGCCACCCTATTCCCTTAATAGTCTACTGCTTTTGACCAGGGCCCATAGAGCTCTGGTCAAAAGTAGTGCGCTATGTAGATAATAGGGTGCCATTTGGTGCCCAACCATGGAGTACAGCACAGCCCTCACGTCAATGTTGTCTGGGTGTCGGTTTGTGATTAAATTGTTAGATTATGCAAAGTGTAATTAAAATATGAGTAAATATTAAATATTTAACCATATTCCCACCTAGCTCGTTTGAACACTATTAATATACTAACTCGGGTAGGGGGCAAAACAAAACAATATGTGTGTCCCAAATGGCACCCTATTCCTTATATACTGCACTACTTTTGACTA